AGAGCCAGCAGCGAGTCGAGAGCCAGCAGCGAGTCGAGAGCCAGCAGCGAGTCGAGAGCCAGCAGCGAGTCGAGAGCCAGGCAGCGAGTCGGGAGCCAGCAGGAAGGGAGGAGCCAGCAGGAAGTCGGGAACCAGCAGCGACTCGAGAGCCAGCAGCGACTCGAGAACCATCAGCGAGTCCAGAGCCAGCAACGAGTCGAGAGCCAGCAACAAGTCGAGAGCCAGCAGCAACTCGGGAGCCAGCAGCGAGTCCAGAGCCAGCAGCGAGTCCAGAGCCAGCAGCGACTCGAGAGCCAGCAGCGACTCGAGAAACCAGAAACCAGCAGCGACTCGAGAGCCAGCAGTTGGAGCAAGCATCAGTTTTTTAGACCAACCCAGTGGAACTAGAACATCCATGATGGGAGAAAATATCTCAGAGTTCCCGACTGGTACATGGTCCGTAAAACTGTACCTGCCCATGTACCGACTTCTCTGAGAACTGATCCTGGCTCCTGGTTCTCCTGTTCTGCCAGCCTTTCCTGAAGCAGAGCATTTTCGTTGATCAGCTCTGCGTTCTGCCTGGACAGGTTCTTGATTTTTTTTCTATTGCAACACTGTATGCTGCGCAGAGTGTCCAGCTGTCCCCAAAGATCGTCCAGCTCTGTGGCCTGCTGATCCACCTTCTCCTCTGTCGTTTTTAGCTCCGTCCGAAGCTCCTGGACTTCTCCTCTCAGAAATCCTTGGACATGTTTTAACGCCTCTGCTTCTTCTCTATCATCCTGATATTGGCGCTCTTTCTTATACATCTCTTCACAAAGCGACACCAGCTGCCCACGGAGAGCGTTGTTCTGGCATTCCAGTAGATCATATTGTGCTTGCAGGCGACTGGGCCTGCAAGACCGAGACTTGAAGTCCTCAATTTTACGCCGGAGGTTTTCGACGGTCTGTTTGAGCTCCAGGTTTTCCTTCTCAAGTCTTCTCTCCATCCTGTTGGCAACGTTTTTCTGAGTAATGCTGTTGGACTCTTCACAAGTGTTCTTCCTTTGACATGTACAGCAACTGAGTTGGCATCAAAGGGAGATGGATCACAGTCATCAGTGATGTCATAGAGCATGAGTGACATCACTGGTACATCAAAGCCACTAGAAGCCTGTTGTGTGTGGGAGTGTGTTCTGTATTTGATGCCTTGTGGGACCATTTTACTGGCACACAGGGGCCTGGCTGTCTGCTCCTCTTCCGTGCATCAGAGCTCGCTCTGCAGCCATGTAACGATGGCTTATTTTGACACACAGACTAACAAAACTACTACAAACACTGCACACACACTCAAACTCCAACTAACACACTTATCGTCTAAAGAACTCATCCGAAACACACCTAATAAAATCCAAAGCGTCACTGCGCTCCGGTCTCTTCCCGTCTCGCACCGCAGGTCTCCTCTCTCCACAGCAACATACCGACACCTTTTCATTGGGTGTTTTAGAAATGTGGTACATTTGAGGAAATCGAAAAAAATGGACGTCATATTGCATTCAAGCATTTCCTGGTCACAAAACATTCACTGAATGAGCCCGAAAAGTGAAAAATGAAACCCGCAGACTCCTTTTCGTCTTCCGGCTCAAAGCAGAGCTGCCTGCTGCGCGTTCATTCTTCACATAATCCTTTACATACAGAACGGAAAACCACTAAGCTGAAAACAAATCACCAAGCGCATGCTACCGATCGCTCCGGTATCCAAACTTTGCATCAATTTCGCGATCTCACTGCTTTTGCTGCTACGCCGTTCCGCTTCACTTTCATCGTAACTTGAACAACTTTACTTTGTTTCTTAGCAACAAAATACAGACCATAATTATTTGTTGAAGATGTGAGATTTCCAATAACACGTGCCTGTTTAACATCTCCCTCATGGCACTGATTTGGCCAGATGCCTCTCTGCTCCTTCACCTCAGAAAAGAAGACTTGGTGAAAGAAAATGAAAGAGGGAGAAGGATAAACTAAAGATATTATAGAGATAATTTAAATAAAGGAAACTGGTTGAAAAAGTGTTGGTAAGTTATGAAAGGAGACTTGTAAATATTCTGGTTAATAGGGAAATGAGAGATCACTGTTTTCCTGCCACTGTTGGCTGAATTTACAACAATGTAAGAAAATGAAAGGGAGGAAGAACAGTTTGGTCTAATATTAGGTGGAAGTGTAAGAAATAATCTTAACACTGTTATTTATTCTCCTAGCTCTGGACCACACAGACTCTGGCCTTGGCATGTTCGGCTGGGTGCTGGTTGGACTTTCTCTCCTGCTGGTGCTGGTCACGTTCCCTCTCTCCATCTGGATGTGCTATAAGGTCAGCTGGTTATCAAATCTAAGTTAGACCTGGTTTTAAAGCAAACACAAACTAATTTAATTACATTTTTTGTGTTAGCATATATTTGACTAGTCCGGTAGACTTGGTTTGATTGGGAACCAAAATTGAAACTTTTGTTACATTTTCAGCTGGTGCGGTTCGCTTTCACACTACACTGAGTCAAATGAATCAAACCATTAGGAAACCTGTTCCCCCAATCGCCTGTGGTGGCGCTGCACCAAGCAAACAACACAAAAACCTATGAGGTAGACACAGAGCGCAGCATCCTTTTTCACAGAATAGAAACAGAAATGTAGGATTTCTCTTTTGTTTAGTAAAAGCCCACAAGTTATTTCTCTATTTCTCCCGCTAGCGCTAGACTCACACATTTGTTTTGTTGTTACCCAGAATTCCCTAAACTTCCTATTCACTTCCTGCTTATGGAGCGGTCTCCGGTCTGCTTGCATCTTATGCCTTCGAACTGCAGCAGAGTTCAATTGCTTTTCACTTTTCACAATGGACCTCTCTCTTTTTTTATCCAGAGCTGTACGTTGAACATGGTGGAACTTATAAGTGTCTCGTTTTTACCATGACTATATTTATTTTGATTTTATTTATTTTACATATTAAAAATACAGAACGTATCCTTGTGTTTTCTCTGTTCAGATAGTGAAGGAGTACGAGCGAGCCATTATCTTCCGCCTTGGGCGCATCCTGAAAGGAGGAGCCAAGGGACCGGGTACGTCTGGGTTTAAACGGCTCCGGTTTTCACATCGCCTCATTTTCTTTAACTTATTTTTAGCAACAAAGATAAAAATATATTTATGTTATATATACTAGAGGGGACTGTTTGGTTGAGAGCTTGGAAGATAAATTGGATGTGATGACAACATAACAGGGCATCCTTAAAAAGTCTTAAATACTTTTAAAACGTGTAAATTGGCCTCAAGTAAGCTATTGTATTTAGATTTTTTTTTGCTTGCCGGACTTTTCTGTGCGGAAAAATTTTGAATCGCAGGCGGATGTCTTCATTTGTTCTGCAACTTGAGATGGTTGAGGCTACCGCTAACTAGCTGCTAATATGAATTTGCTAGCTGGCTAGGTAGCTTTTTATTTGTCTATCATGGTGGACGACGATCATTTCTGCCACTGGCTCACTTCTGTTGCCAACCCATATGAGCCAGTAGGATCCCTATATCTATAGTTTTTTGGTCTTAAATTTAATTCAAGCTAGCATTAAAAGGTCTTAAAAAGTCTTAAAAGTGACATTATAACACTGGGTCATTCTTTGAGCTTTGGAGTTCTTGTGAAGAAACAAGAACATGTAGAAAGCATTCACTTGTGTTCGTTGATTGGTATTTTCTTCAGAAACTTTTTTATTTAGCAATTTTCCAAATTCTTTAGAAATTGCCTCATAACCCAGACAGATGAAGAGCAACAGTCGTTTCTCTAAGTCCATTGCTGATGTGTTGCCAGTCACGGAGACCGAAGCATGCAATCATCCATCCCTGTGCACAGCTGCAGTTTCATCAGCAGAGTCTGACTTGACAGCTTTTCTCATTATTGTGTTTACACTGGTAAATCTTATTTACGTTCTTGTGACACAACAGGGTTGTTCTTCATCGTACCGTGCACCGACGTCTTTATCAATGTGGACATGCGAACTATCATCTTCGACATCCCGCCACAAGAGGTGCGACTTGCTTTTTATACACTTATGGTATATTTCAAGCATTTATTATTTTAGTGATTATGGCTTAGAGTTAATAAAGAAACAAAATTCAATGTCTAAGAAAGTTAAAACAGCACAAAGCAAATAAAAACTGATTTTAGTGTAAAAATGCTGTGATAACTAACCTTCAGATGAATTTGTTGAGCTCCAACATGAAAATGTTCCCGTTCTGTCAGGTTCTGACCAAAGACTCGGTGACGGTGTGCGTTGATGGCGTGGTGTACTACCGGGTCCAGAACGCCACCCTGGCCGTGGCCAACATCACCAACGCGGACGCTGCCACGCGGCTGCTGGCCCAGACCACCCTGAGGAACGCCCTGGGCACCAAGAACCTGGCGGAGATCCTGTCCGACCGCGAGGAGATCGCTCACAACATGCAGGTAGAACACACAACCCCTCCACCATTCATCAAAAATGAAGGTTTGTTGATTTAGTTCGGCTATGATTCTCTTTCCTTGTGCTTAACCTCCTTCTCAAAGTATCGTCCTCTAAAATAATCTACAGTATGGAAATGAAGCTTCGTTTCAATGTGACGTCACACTTCCATGAACTTTGTAACTGGCAGCCATCTTGGTAGGCAGTTGCTTTTGAGTTGCTGTGACAACAATTAGAACTAGTTCTTGCTTTGTTCCTATCTACCTTATAAACAATATAAGTACATTACAACTGCTTGAGTACTGTAGTACTTGCGGCCGAGCTAGCAAAATTAGCTTAGCTAATGTGGCTTTTATCTGCTAGCTAACATGGACATGTACTTACCCTGCCAGTCACCAGAAACTTGTTTTCACAAGAAGAGTTATCGATTCCGGCAGCAGCCATTTTGTTCATGTATCTTTCTCTTGTACGGTGGTTCAGAGTGTCCACATATTTTCTTTATGTTGGTCTCGAACCCGTGGGTTCGCTATGCCTCATGATGCCATTGCCTACCAAGATGGTGCAGACAATGAATGAATAGTTCATAGTGGGAATTATGAACTATTCATTCATAGTTCCCACAAGTCTGGTTCAGACTTGTAGGAACTATGAATGAATTAACTAAATTTTTAAACATGGAAAAGCAGCATTTACACATTTAACTGGCCATTTTCAAGATTACATTTAGGAAACGGAGCAAAAAGAGCAACATAATTGGCACCAAGAAAAATCTGAAAGTACAATTTAATAGCACTGTGCCAAACATCATTTTGAAAAGTTAAAGCATTTAAAGAAGATTAGCTACACAGTGAAGAGTAGCCAGGAAGTTAGTTGTGAATGTTGTAGGCCACTCTGGACGAAGCCACACACGACTGGGGGATCAAGGTGGAGCGCGTGGAGATCAAGGACGTGAAGCTGCCTCTGCAGCTGCAGAGAGCCATGGCGGCCGAGGCGGAGGCGAGCCGCGAGGCCAGAGCCAAGGTGAGGCGGAGCGCAGCGCCGTCAGCCAGGATGACTGATTTATCACCATGAATCTTAAACAATACGATAAAGGCCCATTATCCCTTCATGTGGCATTTAATAATGTCGTGCTGAGAAGCTCAACATAAAGGCTTAATTTAGGCTACGTTCACATTTCAGCCTGAAATGACCCAAATCCTTTTTTTTTTCTTGCTGTGGTCGTTCACACTTCCAAATATGTCCCACTTGTATGTGAACTATAAACGACCTGTAAGTGTCCCGCATGCGCAGTAGAGGGCGCAGTAACGTCTGACGTAACGAAAAAAAGAAGTGCTTAGTGCTACACGCTCATGTACAGTAGGTGGCGGTATGCTCCTGGGAGCTGCTTCCGATCTGCCATAATAAAATAAAAAGAAGAAGAAGAAGCCGTGCTCGGTGTTTACGTGAGTAAACATGGATGCTAACGGTGGAGCATATCTTCAGATTTTAAAGTTGTTGTCCGACTGGAGTCGGCATATTAACAACTTAGTCCTCATAGCCGTCCGCCATGTTTATTGTTTTTGTCCCGGACTCAGATTAGTGACGTTTGTCGAGTATCGATGACGTTCAGGCATACCCGGTAGAGCGGGGAGGAGAGAGTTGGTGACCAAATACGGGCAATTTACAGGATAATACTAAAACGGGAGCACGGCGGGAAAGAGGATAAAATACGGTCGTTTCCCGACCAAAACGGGAGACCTGACAGGTTCAGGTCGGATGAATGCAAGCCGACCGAATAGACTCGGTCACATTTAAAATGATCAGATACGTATCGGATTTAAGAACACGTATCCAAATATCCTGGAAAAAACAACGATCTGTGATGTTCAGACTGACGTGAAAATATTAGATACAGGCCACATTAGGCTGCAGTGTGGACGTAGCTTTAGTGTTTTATCTCTGGAAAATCTGGGAGTAGTTGTTTGAATCTTAGGTTTTATGTGGAGATGAAGGCTCTCCTCTTCCTCCTGCAGGTGATCGCGGCTGAGGGCGAGATGAACGCGTCGCGGGCCCTGAAGGAGGCGTCCCTGGTGATCTCTGAGTCCCCATCGGCTCTGCAGCTGCGCTACCTGCAGACCCTCAACACCATCGCTGCCGAGAAGAACTCCACCATCATCTTCCCGCTGCCAATGGACATTTTGCACAGCCTGAAGAGACACTGAGGGAGAACCCCCACACACACACAGACACTCAGAGACGGGTCAGGTCGGCCTTCTGCCTCTGAAAGCAGCTGTTTGGATTTTAAAACTCCTTAAATTGTTTTAACTGAACGATCCAAGAAACCTCAAACCAAATCTCCTGCTGTTAAATCAAAGATAAACACACATCCACACCTAACCTGTCCTGATGCTATAACAGCATTTCACCACATTTCAGCCACACACTGCAAAAACACAAAATATTTACCTCCATTCTAGTTTCTACTGCAAACATCGTAGTACACTTGAAGTAAGACAAAACTCAAAAGTAGCATTTCAGCAAGAAATAGGAGCTTGTTTTAAGTAAATAATTTATTAATATTGATCAAAAAAGTTGTAGTTCCACTGATATTATTGAAACAATATGCTTGAAAAATTACTTACAAGTTTTTTTGTTTTTGTTTTTTGCTGGAAAGTTACTTGTTAGTTTTGTCTTATTTCTGATGTGTGAAGTTATTTGCGGTAGAAATGAGACCAAATGAATTTGGTAAGATTTTGTGTTTTTACAGTGTAGGGAGATTTTATTCACATTTTTAGCAAACCGAATACTTTCTGTTAATCTATTAAATATAACGTACAACATGTTAGCTGAACTGTTTGTAGCATGTTGTGATCAGGCATTACATTATGACCACTTCACTAAAGATCGGGATCAAAAGTAGCGACTTTGACGCATCATCTGGATTCTTCATTGAATCAATGAAAGATCCGACTAAAATGTTTTTCCTTTCACTCACTGTTCATCCGGCTGCTGGTTCTGGATCCATGTTCTTTAATCTGATCCATTTCTTCCTGACTCATAGGATGTTAACTTTCTCCCTGGTTGATCCAACTTTCCTGCTCCGTCTTAGAAATTAACTGTTAATATTTTAAATTAAAAAACACATTTAGTGAATCTTATAGTTAAGTATCCAAAATGTCATTAATAAATGCTTGAAAAATGTATGGTTTTTTTCTGGAAAAGTGTGAAATCTGAAAAAGAAACCCTGAATTCCAACATCATATTTTTTTTTCACTCCCACCAGTTAGTGGTCATAATGTTTTGACTGATCAGTTTGTGCTGCTGCAGCAGTTTAGTAGTTTTCTGCAGAAAGTGAGTGGAATCACATTTTTATCACAGGAAGAAGGAAAACCCTCCAACTACACTTTACACTCTGTGGTTGGAGCAAATTTACAACAAAAAACTGGAAATTTTGAAATTAATTTAAGAAAATTTCTGCCAAAAATCCTGAAAACATGAGACAAAAAAAAAGGAAATTTCTGAATAAAAAAAAGATTCAGAAATTATTTTTACACATTTTTTACAGGAAATTTACTAGAAGATTTTTGACTTTCAGAAATGATCTGAGTTTCAAAAGTTGAAAGTTTTTGAGTTTTGAAACTCAGAAATTTCTACTGTTTTTTTTCTCAAAAATTTCTTAGAATTTTTATCTACAATTGCCCTAATATGTTGTAATTTTTACATGTTTACTTTTGAAAAACAAAAACCATAAATTTAAAGCTTTTGTCAACAACTCCATACACAACACCAGAGCTGAGGATGTTCAAAGTTTATGCATCTTATTTTTTACCAGCTTGTTTTCTGTGATTTTTAAATTCAATATTTAATATTTATGAGGACTTTAAATAAAGACTCGACCCACAGACACATTTGTGAGCTGGTTTGTGAATGAAAGACGACAGAAATATGTTGAATTTAGTTTATTTGAAACGGAAGCAGCTGCATTTCTTTTTAAAGGAGTCTGGTTTCTGGCGATAATTAAAAAATAAATACAGAAATGAAAGAAATCAGCAAACAGGTCCTGTACCTTTAAAACGATAAACGAAATGAGATTAAGGCATCGCTTGTTTTCCATCTGAGCTGCGGATTCAATATAAAATTAGAACAGTCTTCGATAAAAGTTTAAAAGTGCAAAACAAAATGTCTCCTGTTGGTTCTAATACAAACAAAGGCACTGATGTGGCACTACTGGCAGAAAAACAAGCTAAAAAACTAAAACAAACTGAGCTGGAAGCTAAGAAACAAAGCCTTTCCTGGCGTTCGTTGCATGATGCTTGAAGAGGAAGAGTGACGATGGCGGCGATTCGCTCACAGAGCCAGTTCTGCCATGGCCCGCTCCAGCGGGTCGCTGGTCCAGTAGTCGTGGTCCCAGCCCAGGAACCAGCCGGTGAACGTGGGCGGCTCGAAGCCCTGCTTGATCTTGACGATGGGGGTCCGGGCGTCTCTGTTGGCCGGGTCCGTCTCGATGTAGCGCACCGCTGAGGGAGCAGGAAGCCATCTTTACTGATTTCATCAGGGTCTTAACTGAATGTTCTTAAAGGGCCGGTTCAGCCAGAATATACTGATAAAACCAATTAAACTGGTAAAATACCAGCATTCAGTAAGTGATTCTTAAAATTAAATCAAACATCCTTTCAATCAAAATGACAGATTTTGTGGTGCTAATTTAGTAAAGATTTTTTTACAATACTTGCGTTATATGTGGCTTTTTAATAATCGCCATATCGATCACAGACTATAACCTGAGGCTGAGGCAGCTGTCACTTTTTTTGGCCAATTTTGAGAAAAAAAGTGCAGTAAAAATCAGAAAAAATTTTTGATTTTGTGAATTTTGCAGATTAGTGAAAAACTGGAGGGACTTATTGATGTAATTTGGAGTCCAGAGGGCCACATATAAAGCTAGAGTGGGCCAGATTTGGCCCCTGGGCCTCGAGTTTGACACCTGTGACTTCCCAACATAAAATGGAAATCCGGTATTTAGCCCTTTTTGATCTGAAACAATAATGATCAAACAAATTTAAAAATGTGTTTTATTTTAATAAGGCAACAGTTTGAATCCCTTTTTATGGCTTTGAATCATTAATGATATACAGATTTTTAAAATTTCTTATTTTTGAGCAGGTAAAACTAAAAATTAATTTGATTTAACTAATTTTGTGACCCACCAGTATTTCAAATTAGCCAGTTTTGGCAAAAAGTTTGGACACCACTATTCTAGAACAGCAGTACATCTTAGTTCACTAAATTAGACAAAACTTTAGTTACGAGTTACAAATAACTTTTCAGCAGGATATAGGAGCTTGTTTTCAGTCAATAATTCCTTAATATTGATGAATAGTTCTAGGTTATTTATAACATGGGAAAAACGTCTTGTAATAAGTGAATTAATCGGCCAGTGCAACTAGAACTTGGTTGCTAGGCGACGGGATGGGCGTTGCTAGGTAACAGCGGAATATTCTACCAATGGAACAAGAACTTAAGGAATTATTTACTTAAAACAAGCTCATGTTTCTTGCTGAAAAGTTACTTGAAAGCTAGTTTTTTCTTATTTCAAGAGTACTGAGTTATCTGCACTAGAAACTAGACTGAAAATAGTTAAGATTTCGTGTTTTTACGAAAGTTTCTTTAGTTTCTGTCTGTAAGGTGTGAATATTTTCTGTTTATTCTCACCAGACGCCATGGCTTCAGTTTTTTCTTCCTCCTGAGCTTCATTCCCGATCCAAACAAACACCTGAAGTGAAAAAGGTTTGGTTCAGGTTATATCATCGTCCTCATTAGCACAGAACTGATAGCAGACAGGAAGTTGTGATGTTTACCTGCTCCCAGGTGTCGAGGATCATGACATCATCAGTGGCGAGGTCATCCTGGGTCATCTCCCCGGGAACCTCCTCGATCTGTGAGGGAGAACGGTTGTTGGGTAAACATTTTGGGTGAACCGAAGCTGGTATCCCGTCTTAATTAGTTCTTTTTTTTCTCTGGACATTGTCAGGAGTTTTAAAATTTGTTGGGAAAAACTTACGATAAAGTTCCCGGTTTTATTGGAGCAGGCAAAGAGTCGCGGCGGGTGAGCGTCCATCTTGTCCTTGAGTCTGGTGGAGGTGCGGTACTCTGCCTTCCCGCCCAGAGCGGCCCAGAACTGATCTGGAAAAATAACACGCCGTCACTTTAAGAACCCTTTGTCTTCTAGTAAACCAGGTTTACTGTAGCTAATGACCGCCTTACACTGCAAAAACACAAAATCTTACCAAGTACTTTATAATACAAATATCGTAGTTCACTTGAAGAAAGACAGAACCAACTTACAAGTAACTTTTCAGCATGAAACAGGAGCTTGATTTAAGTGAATAATTCCTTAATATTGATGTTAAAGTTCTAGTTCCACTGGTAGATTATGTCACCTTTAAAATCGGAATTATTTCTGGAATAAGTGAAATAATCTGTCCATATTTAATCATATTAAGGAATTATTTACCTAAAACAAGCCCCTATATCTTGCTGAAAAGTAACTTCTAAGTTAGTTTTGACTTATTTCACTAAATATTTGCACTAGACGATGATTTCTTGGTAAGGTTTTGTGTTTTACAGTGTGCTCACCAGTTTCTCCTCCCTCTGAAAGCTCGTCGGACGCCGACACTCCCAGGATGCCGCACAGCTGCTGAGCTCCCTGCTTCTCCGTGTCGCTGGCGCCCACTCCCACCCACAGGGAGGCGCCGTCGGGGCTCACAAGAACGAAAGCGTCATTGGAGTTCAGGTTGGAGGCCACGGCGTCGAGCTGCAGGAACACAGAGAGGCTGAAGGCTAACGGGCTAAAACAACACAAAATCTACTTTTGCTTTAGTTTCTAATGCAAAACTAACAGGGAGCTTTTCAGGGAAATATAGGTGCTTGTTTTAAAGGTGACCTATTATGATTCCTTGAACAGGTTAGGATGGAAAATTGTAATGAAAAATGTTCATTACAATTTTTGCACAAATAATTCTTAGATAATCAGACTTTAGTCTAATTAGTTCTGCTTATTTTGAGCTGTTTTCGGGCATCTTGTCACTTTAAATCCAGATAAGCTGCTGCTATTCTAAACGTTTACACTCACATGTAAAAATGACTGCAAACAAATGTGTAATTATACAATTGTGTAATTGAAAAGCAGAAGTGGACCCTCCTGCGCTACAACAAGAATGCAGGTTCCTGTATGGCAAGTCGACAGCAAAACACTTGTCTTTTCCAGCAGCCGTTGTACAGTGGTTAAAACTAGCTGACCAAACTTGCAGAAGCTCAGCTTGGGTTGCTAGGTGACGGGCGGAACTCTTCTGGGGTTCCTAGGTAACAGCTGAGTTCCTCGGTTGTGACTTAACTATCAGGAAGTTTGTGAAACGACTCATTTTCCAGACACCAAAAAACATGAAACAATAACCACCAGAGTGATTTTTTTTTAAATATTTCGACTGTTTTTAGAAGCAGTAGAAACCCAAAGGGTTTATTAAAAACGTGCAAAATGTGAATTTTGCATAATAGGTCCGCTTTAAGTCAGTAAATCCTTAATATTAATGAATAAGTACTAGGTATAATTGAAATAATCCGACTATGGAATTAGAACCTTTCATTAATATTAAGGAACTATTGGCTTAAGTCAAGTTTGGATTTATTGCTGACAAGTTACTTGTAAGTTAGTTTTGTCCTATTTAAAGTGTAATAAGGTACATCGGTGGAACATGAGTCAGACGCATATCTGAGATAAAATCACACCACAAACTGTTTTGTCATTGTTTGCTTCCATAGATATCTGCGGTCACATCAGTTTCACTGCAGAATTAGATAGATGGAATTAAAACAGCGCCACAGAAATGCAAGTTTTAGAGCAAAGCAATGAAAAGTGAGGGAGTTAAAACACCCAGATCCTCCCTGTGGGGTTCCTTAATGTTGATTTAAAAGTTTTAGTTTGACTGGAACATTATTTAAGTTATAACAAAACATTTTTACCATATGAACAGTGAAATAATCTGCCAGTGAAACTGAGTTTTTATCATGTTAATTAACTTTTTAACAACATTGATGTTGTTAAAAAGTTACTTGTAAGTTAGTTTTCCCTTATTTCAATTAGATATTTGCAGTAGAAACTGGACTAAAAATACTTTCAGTTTTTTTGCAGCGCATCAATTCGTAGTCAAACAAGAGCAAATGGTGTTCGGGGACTATTTTCAGCAGCGGATTAATACAGATCTAGAAGGTTTATGGTGCCAGCAGGACGGCGCCTGAAAATAAACTACAGTGTGTCTGTTAATAACCGAGCAGACCTCTCTCTGCGGCGCTGCACGGCGTTTAATCTGCTCTGAGGCGCAGAGGAATCAGCTCTGCTCCGGCTAAGCAGGCGACACTTGTTAAGGCTGGCGCCGGGCCTCTTCACGGGATAAATCGACTCCAAATAGATAAACAAGAAGCAGACAGAACGACGTGACGATCACCACTCACCTCCACGGCTCTGGTGTGCCCCGCAGAGTTGGAGCGCACCTGGAAGAGCCGGGTCTCTGCCGGAGCCGACTGGCCTCCGTCCCTGGACGTCCCGCCCCTGTAGACCACCATGGGCTGGCTGCCGAACAGGCTCATGAGGTGGGCCGGCTCCTTGCCCTGGACCACCCTCACCTGGCGCACAGACAGCAGCGTTAGCCGGCCCAGACGGGACGCTCAGAGCTCAGAGCTGTGTGTTATCCACATCATCAAATGCTGATCAAGATCAACGTCATCAAAACGATCAATGAATACAATCATGTTATTGTCTACACAATCACTGCTGAGTGCAAACATATGACTGGAAATGTGAGTTGTCATTAAAACGCTCTACAAGCAGGTTGAGACTCAATCACTGTTAATCCATGTGCAAACATTTTGATGGAAAGTTTAGTGGAAGGATAAACTGATTAAATTAATGCAACTGCTTACTAGCACTCTCTACATGTAGGGTAAGCCATGATAGACCATCTCTAAACAAGCTGGCTGTTCACTAATATACAAACATATTGATGGAAAGCTTAGTGGAAGGAAAAAGTATATGTCGGCAAGCTACAACTGTGGCTTAACCACTCTGAGTTGTCATTAAAATGCTCCACAAACAGGCTAAGACTCAAGGATCATCACTAAAGAAGCTGGTTGGTAACCATAGTGCAAGCATATTAATGTAAAGTTTAGTGGAAGGAAAACTGTTTTTAAAAAATCTACAACTTCTGACTGGACAGCCATTGACACCTTCCATATGGAGAGTAAGCCACAAAAACCTAATTTCTAGTAAAGCCAACTATCCAAGCATTCATCTCAAGTTTTTAAAAAAAGATTTTCCTTCCACTAAACTTTTCATGACTATGTATCCATGTTGGTGAACAGCCAGCTTATTTAATGACTTAACCTTCTTGTAGTGTCTTATTGACAACTCACAGTTGAATCTTGCCTACATATTTCTACCACACTTTTCCTTCCACTTAACTTTCAATCAATATGCTTTCACAGTGTGAACAGACAGTTTATTTAGGAATCGTTTATTGTGACCTTCTCTATCAACCTGTAAGCCACGATGCCACATTTTTATGTTAAAATTCCCTTTTAGATTTTTTTTAGGTCCCCTTTAATTCTTTTTTATTAACTATGAGCTGAAAATCATTGAAATTAAAAGAACTGAACGTTTTAAATACGTTCTGTAATAAATTGTTCTATGCTGCAGTTTTTATAATAAACACCAGATGGCAGCAGAGAGTTGAACTGTGGCAGTTAGGAGACTCGAAGTCATGTCCGCCATCTTTATTTTTAGCTGTGACGCGGCGCCGTCAGTCAACAATCCAGATCATGCTAATCCCGAAGAGCCAGGAGAGATAAATATTTACAGACGAGCTCCGGATTAGATCAACAGACGTGATGAACGTGTGAAACATGACGTGTGAAACAACACGTTCATCACGTTTGCAGCGCAGTTTGAAGTTTGTCACTTCCTGTTGGATGAATCGCCGTAGTCAGCAGGGAACGGAGCGAACAGGAAAGCAGAAAACGGTCTAGTTCATGTAAAAGTCTGTAGAATGTTTATTATTTATGTGGTTTTAAAAGAAAGTACACCCTGCCCAAAAACAAACAGCTGATTGATTGATTGAGTGAGAAAGTAAGTACACCTTTCAGCAGAAATAACTCATTCACTTTCCGTCTAATTCTTCCTTCCAGTGTTGCTTCACTGTTTTTGCACAACTCCCACCACAGCGATTAAATCAGACTGAGGTCCAGCCTTTGACTAGGACATTGCAACACTGTGCCTTTTTTCTTGTTTAGTCTGTGCGGTTTTTAGATAAACTTCAGCTTCCAGACTGGTGGCCTCACATTGGGTGAGGCCACCAGTTCAAGGTCGACCCAGTGACCCCAACATGCCCACATCACCACACTGCCACCACCGTGCCTACATGATGAGTGTGAGCAATTTTTCTCCATTCAGGGTTTGTTCGTTACGGACAAATATCTCCACTTTCATGGCTAAGACAGCAAATGCTTTAGTTACTATTTCCCCGTATTAAGGAAGCAGCAGGGGTGTACTTAGATTTAAACAGATTTCTCTTGTGATTTTATAAACATTAAAGTCATTGACTGGAAATGTGCAAAATTAGTTTGTCTTGCTCAAATCTAAAAGTTCTATGGAGATCTAAAACAAATTTAGATCTCCATAGAACAGAAGGAGGGTGTACTTTCTTTTCAAAATAACTGTAGGTGCACAAACTTAAATTTTGCAATAGGATTTATTTAAATTAAAACAATTTTCCAATAGAGGAAAAGGGTTAGTTTGGAGATGATGATGTGGCAGAAGGACAATTTCTACAACGGAAAATAAAGGCAACTGTAGATAGAAAGGGGAGTAAATTACTGCCAAAAAACTAAGATATTTTTAGATTAATCTCAAAATTTTTCTATAAAAAAACATGGAAATTTCAGTGTTGGAAAAATTACAAATTTGCTAGAAACAACTCAGAAATTTTGAGATTAATCTCAGAAAAATTTCTATTTCTAATTGTTTCAAAAGTTTAACTTTTTTACTTTTGAAATTTCTGAATCTTTCCTCAAAGTTTTTTACTTTTGGAGTTCAGAAATGTCCTTTTTCTTCCTAGAAAATTTCTGAAATTTATGACAAAATTTCTGACCTTTTGGCAGAAATGTACTCATCCTTTTTATTTCTTTCATCTACAAAGGCCCCAGTACGCCGTCGTTGTCTGATTCTGCATGAATGGATTGTTTGCTTGCAGCAACATAAACACAAAATGTTTTCCATGCGAGGTGAGGTCAGAGGCAAAGGTCATACGGTTAGTTCAACATCAGCAGAGGAGAAGCAGGTGGGGAGGGAAATACCTGCGTGGTTATAGGAGCACCAACAACCTGAGGAGGCGGGGCAGAAACCAACAAGCAAAGAAGCAGCGGAAGAAAAATAACAACAGAACGGGGAATGAAAGGATGGAAAGGTCAGGAGGAAACGGAGCCGAGAGTTCATGAGCGTAAGGAAAGAGGAAGTCGCCATGACAACAACGAGTCGCACCTGGACAGGACCACCGCCGAGCTCGTCGTCCAGCTGGGAGCCGAGGATCGCACAGGCGCCGATTTCATCCTGACTGGAGTCCGATCCCTGCCTGGAAAACAAAACCAAACATTTTGGAAACAGAAAAGTTATGAGGAAGTTTTCAGACGGTGAAAAGCCACAAAACGTCAGAGGGCTGTATTAATTTAAAGTTTAGTGGAAGGAAAATCTGTGGTAGAAAATTATTAAAAATTCACTGCAAAAGCAAAGAAAAAATACTTTTGGTCTAGTTTTTAGACTAACTTACAGGTATGTTTTCAAGAAGATATAGCAGCTTGTTTTAAGTAAATAATTCCTTAATATTTATGAAAAGTTCTAGTTCCATTGGCAGATTATTTAATTTATAAGATGGGAGAATGTTTGGTTGTAAATTAAATAATCTACAAGTGGAACTAGAACTTTTTCAACAATATTAAGGAATATTTTGCTAAACACAAGCTCCTGTATTTTGCTAAAAAGTTACTTGTAAGTTAATTTTGTCTAATTTCAAGTGCCAGAAACTAAAACATTAAGATTTTTACAGTGGAAAGATTTTATTTACATTTTTAACAAACCAAACACTTGCTTACCTTTATATCAAGATGTGAAATATAACATGCACTAAAATATTTGTATTAGAAATTGAGGTCACTGCTGTATCTAATAATACTAATAAAAGTTTAGTGGAAGGAAAACATATGGTACAAACAGGGATAAACACAACCTTAAGATTTAAAATCAAAGCCAATTTGGGCGACCGCTGTGAGGCTTAATAAACTTTGCTGAAGCAGACGCGTTAGACGAAGGAAAGGTGCTGAAGTGCGGCGTCTTCTCACCACATGTAGATGATGTGTCCCTGCCGTCCTCCATGGCGGTAGTTGTACAGGATGATGTAGCTGTCTCCTCCGAAGAACTGTCCATATGTGGACGGATCCACCGCCACCTTATCGGATCCCTCAATACGCCAGATCTGACATGGTGACGAACAAATAAATCAGTATTTGTCTTAATTGTCTTAAATATTTCCACCTGAAATATTCTGCTAAACTCACAATATTAAGACCAATAGAAACTATGATTTAATACTGCAGATTAATGAGTGTTGTGTTACTGTAATGCTTTTACATTTGCTGCTCATTCTGAGTTAAAAGTAACTCAGAAAGTTAGCAGAGAGAATTATGGAGCCCCCTAGTGGACATGGGGGGATTTTATTTTCTTTTGTGTTAAATTGCAAAAGTACAAGAAAAAATAAATTAAATTCTGAAAATAAAGTCATAATATCACGGCTTTTTTTCTTGTATTACTTTGATTTTATTCTCATATTATTTTGACTTTATTCTTGAAATTTAATTAAGATCAAATTATTTAATCTTTATTGTCGTATTTTAACTTTATTCTCGAAATTTTACGACTTTATTCTCTCACAGGTTAAGAATATTCTGGTAATATTATGACTTTATTCTGACATCATTTCAACTCTTGTATGGTTATTCTCATAATATTATGACATTCTTGTAATTTTGACTTCATATTATTTTAACTTTAATCTTGTACAACTTTGCTCTCAAACAAGTTTATTGTCATAAAAATAAATATCGTTGTAATATTCTGACTTTATCCTTTTGGTTTATTTTTTGTAGTATGGCTCTAATACTCCATCGTACTTTTGCGATTCAACGCAGAAGAAAAGAAATCCCCCCGATGTCCAGTAGGGGGCTCCGTAGCTAACTGAGAGCTGCTCGTTGACCAATCCCGTCTCACCTGCTTCTCTCCGCTGCCGTCGTCCACCATGCCGTGCTGCGCCGCCATGGCCGACGACTCGTGCAGGCTGGCGGCGTCAAACGCCACCTTCTCGATCTTGGCGATGCTGTTGGCGATGTAGGCGACGCCCAGACCCTCAGTCTGGTCTTTGTCGCGCCAGTTCTTGAAGAACTGCTTGAAGAGCGGTGTCTCGCCCGACTCCGGCAGGATCTGGACCTCCGTGTGTTTGGGGTAGCCCATCTTCTTGATGAACTCGTCGGCTGCCTTCAGCGCCGCCTTTCGTTCGTCCATGTTGGCGTCTTTGCCTGGAGAAAGAATCACTGAGTTCAGCTTCCGCTGCTGGGAGAAGTACTTCCTGTGACGAAGTTTACGCCGACCTTTCCAGATGAAGATCTTGCCGTCGGAGCCGTGGTCCAGGATGAAGCAGTCGCCGGACTCCAGGGCGCTCTGAGCGAACGGGTTCTCCGCCGCCACCAGAGTAACGGTCATGCCGCCGCTGGCATTGGAAACCTGGAACATGTGAAACAGGAAGAGTCATGTCCCAGTACCAACCAGTACGACGTAAAAAACCAACCAGAATGAGGACGGATCTGTCCGGAAGTCCACATCACCCCGAACTGAGGAGAATCTGGAGAGTTGGCATTGGACTGGCTGGGATTACAGCTTCCTGTTGCAGTAAACTGAGCTCTAGCGCTAAAGCTAAGTTTAAGTGGTAACATTATTTTGATGTTGATGTCAATAAAGCTAACATCCTGTAGCAGCTAGTTCTGCTACAGCACTTCCGCTAACTTCCTGTTGTGGCTGTAGCTTTGCTTAAGCAGGTTTAACAAACGTTTCCCCTGACATGACCACTTTCACTGCGTTTTTCAGGTCACCTGACTCAAATCGCCTGGTTTTGAGCTGATGTTTACAAGCTGTAAAAGTGACTGACACACCAACGATTTGGATGGTTGAGCAAATGGTGTGGGATGTTTGTAAAGCAGTTAATAGGCCACCTATAAATCCAGACAATCTGTTTTATTATGTTTACACACATAAACTAGAGAAAGTCAAACAAGTGTAAAACCTTCAGAAAGGAGAAGTTTGGTTTTGGGTTATTGTTCTCTATGCAGATGACATTCAGTCGTTTGTAACACTAACCGCTAAGCCTGAGAACCGTTTAAATGTAATCAGACGAAGTGGATGTTTGATTTGATCCTCTCTCATCTGCTCACACATTCACGCTCTGACCTTGTACAGTTTCGCCCGCTTCCTGTTTGAGGCATCAGCTTTGACGTCATCCGAAGCCCCAGGAGGCAGATCTGGTTTGGGCCCCAGAACCTGTGAGCAGAGGCAGCGGTTTCAGTAAACGACTCCGTTTGTTTGGCCGTTTGCTTCAGTGGGTTTTCCGGTCGGACCTCCGTCATCTTCTCCCTCTCCGCTCCCTCGTCGCAGACGTACACCCGGGCCCTGCCGCTGCGCTCGTTGTCACGGATACCCTTGGCCACCTGCGTAGCCTTGAGCTTCTCGAAGCGGTTGCTCTGGGAGCCACACCACTGGTAGATCTCCTGCGGGATGAGAGGAAGAGCCCAGAGATAAACCAATTAAATTAGCAGAAGCAGCTGGTTTATTTGTTTCTGGTCAGATGATATTTTGTTCCATAACTAATGAGGATCTTCTCCGTCTGACTCACAGCCCCCAGGTCCAAGATGAAGCAGTCGCCCTGGTTGAAGCTGTCCCAGCTGACTGGCACCTCCGTTGCCCGGACGACACGCCGACCTTTGACCTGGAGCACCCGCTGCACCGTCACCTCATTGGTCACGACGTGTTTGAACCCAGAAGCCACGCCTCCTTTCTGGAAGGTACATTTATATTTATTTATTTCAAACAGGAAACGTAAAGAAAAGAGTAACTGAGACAGAGAAACATGTGCATGTGGGACCTTTGGATGTTAGTTTTCATCTGGAAATGTTGTGCATCCACACAACGCTGGAGGGCAAATAGACGATTCTCTTACATGCTATCGGTAGGCAGAACAATCCTGTTAGCTAAAGGAAACCTGGAGACGTCCTACCATGTACTTGATTCCAGATTTGAAGTAGCCCAGAAACGTTTTGGACTCGTGTCCCTGCACCTCGCGGTACTGGATGGGTTTCCCCCCGAGGAAGTCGTCCATCTGGACAGTAAAGATGGCCGCCGCGCCGCTCTCATCCTGGCTGCAGAAATCACCTACATCGGAAAAATAAATACACTTTATCAGTATTGTTTGTTCTTAGTCCAGAAGATACAAAGACTTTAAATTTAGCGGTGAATCTGTAAAGACACAAAACATTTTTCATTTATTTAACGATATTTCTCCATATTTCCAATTATTTTGGATCTGATTCCAGTTTGAACCAGATTTTCGCTCCTTTAGGAACCAGAATAACAACTTCTAGTGGTAAATCTGTTTTTTTGAGACACATAACCAAGTACAGTGCTCAGTTGTAGCTTTTAAAAACAAAAACACCAAACAGTATTGTGAATTTAAAACATAAATCAATCATAATCAAAGCGTAAGCCACCCAAACACAGTCTACCAACAGTCGGTTCCAATAAGGAATCAATAAAGATAAGCTTACTTCAAATAATGAAACCGTAAGCTTAAGATAATATGGTAAAACAAAAAATGGCTTAAACCAACATTTGTAATGCAAATTCATGAACTATTCTGCTTCTGGAATAAACAAACCAATAAAATGTTATTTATTTTTACTGCTAGCATGTTTGTAGGTAGAAAAAGGGGATTGGAAGTTTTATGTTTTTACTATTTTATAATATAATTCTGCTTTTAACGTGTCACCAATTCCTGCACTGTAAAAACACAAAATCTTACCAAGTATTTTTGTGCAGTTTTTAGTCAACTGTCTTAATACACTAGAAATAAGAGGAAACTAATTAAAAGTAACTTTTCAGTAAGCTATAAGAGCTTGTTTTACATAAATAATATTTTAATATTGATTAAAAAACATATCATTTTTTAATATTAAAAATTTTATTAGTTTAATATTAAAAATGTGCAAATTTTTCTTACTATAAAAATTAATAGAAAACATTTTTCTAGTATTAAAAATAAAAAATAATTTGTCAGATTATTTCACTTATAAAATGTGAATAGTTTCTTGTTGTAAGTGAAATAATATCTCCTTATTTAATCAATATTAATGAATTATTTACGTAAACAATCTCCTGTATGTTGCTGAAAAGTTAATTGTAAGTTTGTTTTGCTTTATTTTGAGATATTTGCTCAGTAAACTGGATAAAAACGTTTGGTAGGATTTTGAGTTTTTACAGTGTGGTAATAAAAAAAGGCGAAGCTGGTCATTCAGTGATTTCACATTTTATCCGTCGTCGTGTTTACTGATGTTTTTGCGAGCAGGAGAGCCGTTCTGTGCAGAAACTGTTGGATAATAAAATGTTTACAGGAATTTCAGAGAAACATGCAAAGCAGCGGAACAGTTTACTGAGAATCCAGAGGAACAAAGTCAGAGCCATCATCATCATCATCATCATCATCACGCCTTGCAAGTCAAATAGAGTCGCAACGGGAAAACTGAAAACATCTCGGTTTTTAAATATAAATACAGAGATATTTGTGTTTTCTCTAATTCTCACCCAGCCAGAAGTGGAGGTCGTACTGCAGGTTCCCGGATCGCTGCTTGATGGTGTTGAGGATGAGGTAGGCGTCGCCGGTGTAGAACCCGCCGTACAGGTTCTCCGGAACCGGCACCAGGTCGAAGTTCTCCACCCTCCACACCTGCAGACCCGGGTTCTGACCGGCCCGCTGGAACTCGGCGTGCTGCGCTGCCATCCTGCCTACAGAGGGAAACACTGCGGATGAGCCTCAGTCTGCGGCCGCCGCGCCCTTTGAGCGCCGTCACCACGGTTACGCAGATAAAGATCAGGGCTCTGGGTGGTTATTAACAAGCGTGAGGATGATTCACCGCCAAGAGGAAATCCTGGTGGTGGCAACCGAAACGCTGCATGTGCAGAAAGCCGAAGCAGGAAGAGAAAAACGTAATTTACTGCTGAACACTGTAAAAACACAAAACCCTACCAAGTAATTTAGTCTAATTTTTATGGCACATAATAAGACAAAACTAACTTACAAGTAACTTTTCAGCAGAGCTTGTTTTAAGTTAATAATGATGAAAAAGTTCTAGTGCCATTTTTATACTATTTTACGTATAATGACAATTTTTCCAGGTTAAGTTAAATAATCTGCAGTAGGACTAAGAATTTTTTGTCAATAGTAAGTATTTACTAGCTTAAAACAAGCCTCTACACCTTGCTAAAAAATACTTTAGTTTTTGTCTTATTTAAAGTGTTTTTAAGATATTTGCCATAAAAATTGAACTACTTGCTAAGGTTTTGTGTTTTTACAGTGTTCTTTGTATTAATTCCCACTTTCAGCCAAAACGTTTCACACCTACTGTCACATTTTGTCACTTTACAACCACAAACCACAACAAGGTCACAGATACGGCTGCTTAACAACTTCTGAAATCTGAAAAGTGTGGCTTGCATTTGTAATCAGCTACAGTCTTGACTTTGTTGAACCGACTGTCACTGCAGTTCCAGATGCAAGTCTTACTGGAGAGAGCCTCACTCTTCAAGTCTCGCCCCATATCCTTAATTAGATTTAGTTCTGGACTTTGACTAGGCCATTCTAACACAGATTTCTTTTTATGTATGTCATCCGCTAACAGGTTTTCTTCCATCAGCTCCCCAAGCAGAAACATGTCTGTCCTGAACACCTGCGCTCACAAATAGCAAACACTTCATCCTTATCCAGAAGATGCTCGGCGCCACAGGGACAGATTAGGTTTATCTGAACCGGGTTGTATGGAAGGCCATTAGGGACGTTACGAGAAATAAAATTCTGACAGTTAAATCTGTGATTTTTCTCTCAGAAATTTGACTGTTTTCTCAGAACAGTCAAATTCCTGTCTTTTCACAGAATTTTAACCTTTTTTCCTCATAATTAAGACTTTGTTCTATGAAATTGGACTTTTTTTCCTTCAGAATTTGGACTTTAATCTCAGATTTTTTAAAACTTATTTTTCAAAATTTTTGCTTTTTCTGAAATTTTTTTTAAACTTTCTTTTCAGAATTCAGGTGTTTTCTCAGACTTCTAACTTTAATCTCAGAATTGTAACATTTTTCTCAGAATTTAGATTTTTTTTCTCCTTCCTTATGGTTGTAACCTCGAGTTGAACATTTTATTTTTAGTTACATTTCAAGAAGCAGTTTGGACAGTAAACGCAACAGATACTGAAAACAATTAATCTGTAGCAAACCAGAACTTTACATCTTTAAAATTTAATTCCCAGCTGTTTTAAACTCGATTTTTTTTTTTGTATTTAAGAACTAACAGTTTGTTTTTCCACAGGAATGCAGTTTGAGCCCACAGACACGGCAGGAATCTGATCCCGACCCGGCAGAGGGATCAGAGGGAAGTGATGAGTCCAGGGAACCGAGACCAGCTTCCCTTTTTGTTCGCCTCGTTTCTCCTCTTCCTCTTATGTAACAGTGAAGCTCAAACACTGAAAACTGAAACACATCCTGTTACTCACAATCAAACTGATATTTTATCGTATATATTATCAGAAACTAATAAAACTAAATTAAAAAAAAGCTCATTTTAATGCTAAGCAAGACGACAGTTTGTCACACCAGATCACAGGTGGCTCTTATAAAAACATATATAATAACAAATGCTGCTTTTCAGCCACTTTTTAATTGTTTTCCTGCAATATTTGCCTTGAATTTCCACAAAAAGTGCCACTAAAAGCACCAGGAACATGTTTTCATACGTTTCACTGCAACATTTGCAGAGTTAAATCAACAAGCGATGGCAGAGTTACAACTATTTAAAGTGTTAAAATGACTCCAGCTCTTGTTGAATAACTGGAAGAGTTAAATTAATAACTCAATTCGGAAAAGAACCAAATAGACTCGACACAGAGTCGATTTAACTCTGCAAAATCTGTGCAAATATATTAGTGCACTTGAAATGAGACAAAGCTAACTTACAAGTAACTTTTAAGCAAGTTTCAGTAAATAATTTCTTAATATTGATGAAAAAGCACTAGTTCCACTGGTAGAACATTCCCACTTATCATATGGGAATGCCAGTACTTTTTAACTAAAAAAAAGCTATTTCTAGCTGAAAAGTTACTTTTCAGTTTATTTTATTTGATAAGATATTTGCACTGGAAACTAGATTAAAGTAATTTGTACCATGTTGTGTTTTTGCAGTGCGTTCGCCTGGTGACTCATGAAGATGTTTTTGGAATAAAAACAGGCTGTTGTCAAACAGAACGGGTCATACGATTGTCGCTCACCGCCTCTGCAGACGGATCGTGTCCCAGTTCGACCCACCAGCCCTTCCTGTGCGGACAGGCAGCCGGGCCACCCGTCCTCGCATACTTCGTCCCCTCCCCCACTGTCCACCAGCCTGTCTCTCTGTTGTCTGACTGGAAACTCAAACTGCGAAGAAACTGGGAATTCATTTGAAGAGAAACTACGTTTGTATTGTGCTTTGTGGTCCGTCTGCTGCTGAAAAAGAACCCAAAGGTTTAGTTAAGTGGATTTTAAGGCCTTGACAGCTTGTCTGGGGTTTCCATCCCCCACCCTGGTAAAAATAAGAGCCTTCCTCCAGCGGAGAGGAGGGGGTTTCTCATGACTCATTTGCTCCTTGAATGCCATTCTTCCTCATTCTGTTGTGATGCATCAGATACAGATCTGTGCATCCTCGCTGCTTCCCTCTGGGTTAGGGACGGCCTCCATGTTATGAAGGGATATGACAGTTATTTTTACCAACTGACAACACCACAAAATAAACTTAACCAGGCATTAAAAAATGACTGAAGACTTTATCCCCCCCCTGACAAGGCAGCTAGAAGTAGTGATGGGTGTGGCGTTTTTCCCTAAGTGAAAATTAGCTTCCCCTGAAGCTGCCATAGCCGTTAGCTTCAGGGGAAACTATGCTAGTGCTAGTTAACTAGTTAGCTTAGCTAAGACAGTTTCGTACGGTTTAATAAGCAGTTAAAGTGTCCTCAAAGAGGATCTCAAATATTTGTGGAGAGAATGAGAGAAATATCCTTAATGGAAGAGTTACAAAAAACCAAAACAAAAACCAATGAGCTAACAGGCGCTAATTCTACCAATCCAACCTCCTTTACACAGTTTGCTAATTAGCATTGATAAGTCGCTTCCTATGTGACTGAATGAAATCATTCATCAGGAAGTTTTTAATTTAACCTATATTGTAGTTTATTGCCTGCATTATCAGCCATGGTTCAGCTGTTTGAGGACAGGATGCCAAATTAGGGCATCTGGGCTCAACAGCTGAAAGGAAATGTCCCGCATGTCAACAGTAGGAGACGCACCCCAGAGTCCAACCCAACAGAAAACATGCACTGTGACAGAAAACTGATGATTAGTTCAGGAAAATCTCATATCTGACTTTCAACTCCTCTTCCTGAGTAGTTTGGTTTTACTGTCACACACTTTGAGGATGTGGAGGTAAAACTTCCTCAAAACAGTTTGTCTCCATAGAAACCAAATATGACTCATGACGGGACCAAGAGTCATTCTAACGTCTTTTTTTAACTTTTAGTTTCTGTAATGAAATAGTAATGCAAAAACTGTGCATTTTATTCTTTATTAGTTTCTTCTGAAGACAAAAATATTTAATATTAGTTTAATGTTTTGGGGGTTTATAGTTGCATTTAAAGCAATTGTGTCATAATTGTACTGTGGATGCTAAAAGACATTTATGAAGTACACTAATTATTAATAATTTTCCATTTTTAGTTCCTTTAGTTAACTTGGAAGGTCATAATAAACATTACTAGTCAATTTGTAAGGACAAACCTTGTGTTGTTAGCAAACTAAAGAGAATCTGAGCCTCAAATGTTAGGTAACTTTTAGGTAAACTAGTAAACTAATTATTTTTAGCTGAGAAAATGAGGTCAATAGGCAGAAAAGTAATTGACATAAACATTGTAATCTTTGCTAACCATGTTATTGTTTGCAATGATGCAATATGAATATAAATTAGTTTGAATAAGTCAACTCTTATCTTTGAGGGAAAACACATTTTGCAATAGGTTTACTAATAAGTAAACATTTTGAGCTCTAGAGCTCAGTTACACAAGTGAACTGCAGAGTTCACTTGTGTAACTGAGCTCTATAGTAAGGTCTATTAGCTTATTATGAATATAAAAACTAGCGAACCTTTAAATAAATTAGACTGCAAATTATGCTTTTTGTAGATCGGCAGCTTTGTAAACAAGTATGACTTATTTCAGCTGCCAAAGCTGCATTTGCTTTAGAATATCTTAGATTTGCTCTATAAAAAAAATCTGTGAACAGGCAATTGTAATAAATTGGAGTCACATTTCACAGAAAACTCTGAATAACTGAACCTAAAATAACATCTGTTTGCAACTGCAGCTCTACACATACAGAAAATCGAATTAGATTTAATTAGTAGGACCAGTGATGCAAAAAGTGGGTGGGTACTGAATAGGGGCGCCACCCAAGAGGGGGCGCCAAATTTCTATTTGGGATTTTTCTTTCTTTCTTTTTGTATTTAACAACTGTTTGTACTTTGAAAATATCTAGCTGTACCCATGCAGGTGTGAATACAGAATAAATACAAAATTCCTTGCCATATTTCCCTCATCTTGTAAGAACTGACTGCGTGTGAGTGAGTGAGTGTGCAACCACAGACATGCGAACTGCAGTTTCAGTCCCATATATGGCGCCTGCTGCGTTGCACAAAGGCAAATAAAAACACTTTTAGTCCGTTTTTAAATCTCCTCTGCAAAAGAAAAAGTCCGATTAAACAAACGCGATCCTTTATTCACCGCGCTTCCTACTGACATCAGGCCGTTATTCCAATCGAGGCCATAAATAGGCTGCAGTAAAACCCAGATTATAATTCCGTAATCTGCCTTCCTGTGATTTAAACGGAGAAGAGATGGTTAGAAACGCGGAGATAACCTGAATGTGGAGGTTGATGGACGGACGGATGGGTGGATGAATGGGTGCTGCCTGGGTGTGAGCGAGCCGATGGGGAGCGCTTCCGAGCTGCAGCCGGGGCGGAGAGGCGTCGAGTCGGCGTGGCAGAGAGCGCTGAGCCGCTGTTTATGCTGCCGGAACGGGACACACCCCGAACAGTCCCCTCCCTGACCCGGCCCGCTGCTGCGGCGTCCGAACACCAGAACGAGCATCCAAATTAACTAAACAAACTGAAAATCACTTATTTTATTCATTTTTACCCTGCTACCCCTAAATAAATAGGTTTTAAACCGAGTTGGGTAGAAACTCGTTACATTTACTCAATTACATTTACTTTTGTAACTTTTTTGGAGTGATGTATTTGTACTTTTACTTTAGTAAAAAATTCCTGGATTTTCTACCCACTGAATGAAAAGCAAACATGTTTTAACCAAAAATTCACCATAAACAGACTCAAACCTGCAGTTTCTGTTTAAGTTTCTGAAGTTTTTTTTATCGAAAGAAACTGATTTGGAAACATTTTCTTTTGCCTGATTTTGTTATTTTTTGTTACTTATATGAATTATTGTCATTTCCATCTTTAAAATAACAAAATTTCCATTTAACATTATGTTTTGGTCCAACTGATGATGTAATTTTTGAATAATAAATGATTGATAATTTGATCAGTTACTCAGTACTTGAGTAGATATTTTGCTAAATACTTTTGAGTAATTTATTGGCAGCTTCTTTTTACTTTTACTTGAATAAAAGTATGTTGAAGTAGTGCTACAATATATGTGAAAGAAAGTGGAAAATTACATTTTTGCCCCAAAAACGTTATTCTAATGGTGGAATTTGGTGGTGGCAGCATCTTCCTGTGGGAAAACCTTTATTCTCCAGGGGTAGAGAAGGTCAGAGGGGATTGGAAGATGGATGGACAGAAAAATATAAAGCTTTTGCTACATAACATTGTAGCAAAAGTTATAATGTAATGTTTTATTTCAAAGTGTATTTGTGTGTTAAAATGGTCCAGTCAAAGTCCAGACGGAAATTCATTGACACAAGACTTGAAAATTGATGTTCAGAAATGTTTTCCATCTAATCTGACGTTGGGCTATTTTATAAGTAAGAAGGGGCAAAAGTGTCAGAGCAGAGGATAACTAGCTAGCTTAATTTTTTTGTTTCTTTATTTTCTAATTCCTATCTTTCTTCCTTTCTTTCTTTACATAGCAGTAGTTATGGTGCAGTTTTAGTTAGTATGTTATCGTTAATTAATTTGAATATATTTACAGATAATTTAACATATTATGTCCTTATAAGGCCTGAAGAAAACGACTAGAAATTACTTCAGAAATCTGACTGGGTTTTAAATCACAGCTCTTTAGAACTTTGTCGCCCTCTGGTGGCGAAAATACGTAACTGCATATAACTGGCAGGAGCTTGGAAGATGAATAAAATACAATTTTTTCTTCTAAATTGTCTTTTAAATGTATACCCATGAAAACTTCTTAGGCATTTTTAGACTTTATAATTACAAACATGGCTATAAGACTTCAAAAGAGAGTTTCATCAGATAATTACAGTTCTGTTTCTTTTCTTTTAGAGTTGCCATTTGTGTCCTTTCTTCCCTTTTTCATCATTGCTGTTTTTGCAGTAGTGTACAAACACTGTATTTTAGTCCTCTTTACTTGGCATGCTCAGTCTTTCAAGGAGAAACGGAGTCTGACGTATCCATGTGGGCGGCGGAGCTGTTGCTCACCCAAGTCAAGGCCTGCGTGTTTGTGCTATAAGACATTTATGGAGCGCATTGGTACCTCCAGCCGAGAAGTGGATTCTTTAAAGCACACATGACTCACAGAAAATACTGCAAGAAGGAAAACATTCAAAAGGGATTTTAGTCACACCAAAGGCAGTAGTAATATGTTGATAGTTAATCTATGTTATGTAAGTTATGTAGACGTAATATTGTCCTCTTCAGCTGGTTGTGACTCTTTTATATTGCATGTATTGGACTCTAAATGCAATTTGTACCCCTGTTTGGACAACTTTTGGGCAGTGGCCAAGAGTCTCACCCTGTCTTTAAGGGCGAGACTCTTAAAGACAGGGTGACATTCAGGAAGAAGGAGGAGTTCAAGTACCAAAGATACTTGAACTCCTCTTGGGACAAGATCTCATCCTCGACCCAGAAAAGACACTCTATACCCTTTTCCAGAGACAACTGTCTAGGATTTGGAGATGCTGCTCTAATGAAAGCTGAAGATTACAATCTGATGAAGCTAAGAGGACAACATCATCTGCAAAACGTAGCAACCTGATCCTGATACCTCCAACACGGATCCCCTCAACACTTTAGCTGTACCTAGAAACTATGCCAATGAAGGTTATGAACTGAATCAGTGACAAAGGGCAACCTAAATACAACTCTGACCAGAAATGATAGTAATGTTGACCCCGGTTGTAGAAGGACCAAAAGAAGCTTGGTACCCCATAATCCCAAAGTACGACCCACTGGACTCCTAGAGGGACACAGCCAGACGTCTTCTCCAAATCCACAGAAACAAAACATGAACTGTCAAGGCCCTGACAACTTGTGTCTTTTTGTTTGTTTTGTTTTTTTGGGGGGATTTTGAGCTTGTAATTCTCCCATGAAGGACATAAGTGCACATTCTCTTGATGTCGTTGTGGGTTCGTTTTGAATCACCTTCATAAGATATCAGTTTGCTTTTGGGGTTAAAGTATCCAGTATTTGGTGGAGGGACTAATACCCACAAATACTTGACTCGCTTTAAGGATGCTTATAACTGTCTATTAACACTTATAAACTGAAGAGATTAATTCTTCATTAATTCTGCATTAATACATACAGTGGAAACTAATGCTAAGCTAGGTAGTTAGCTAGTGCTGAGACAGTTTCCCCTGAAGGTAGCATCTACTGTAGGGGTGTCGAACTCATTTTCATCTTGGGCCGCATGAAGGTCACAAATGTCCTTAAAGGGCCGGATGAGAGAGAATGTAACAATTAAACTACTCGTTAAGAAACTATTAAAATATTATAGCGTGTTTGATAAGTACTCCATCCATCCATCCATCCATCCATCCATCCATTTTATTTACACCCTTGTCCCTTAGTGGGGTCGGGAGGGGTGCTGGTGCCTATCTCCAGCTAACGTTCCGAGCGAGAGGCGTGGTACACCCTGGACAGGTCGCCAGTATGTCGCAGTTGATAAATACTCTTTAAAACATAAATAATTTTAACATCTTTTCACATTTATGTAATTTGGTCCCATAGAAATGAAAACTAATTTGATTTGACTTGTAAAATAATATCTAAGCACACAACTGTTATCAGTCTATGTGACCCTCTCAAATCTAAAGGGCCACATAAATAGCTATGATGGGCCGCATTTGGCCCACGAGCCTTGAGTTTGACACCTGTGGTGTAGAGGGTGTTCCAATGTTTTTGTATTTGATAGATAGATAGATAGATAGATAGATAGATAGATAGATAGATAGATAGATAGATAGATAGCTAGATAGATAGATAGATAGATAGAAGGCGCCTTCTTATTTCCTGCGATACATGCGCGCGCATAAGAGCCCTCTGATTCACGTGCGGAAAACGTCTGGTGAGGGGTGGGGAGGAAGAAGAAGAGAAGAAGTGACTTATGGGATGCGAAGTAGCCGGGCGGCTGACAGACGCACGGAGGGGGGAAGAGCGGGTGACATCCACAGGAACCATCTGAAGGAAGAGCGGGAAATAAAGAGGGGGTGTAATAAATTAACTGGTTATACGGTTCATTTGGGGCGCAACGTGCAGGTTTTGCACACCGCCATCGGATCCTGAGCGGAAGAAAAAGTTCAGATCCCACGGATCAGCGCGTGGGAGTGGGGAGCAGGATCGAGCTCCGCTGCGTGTCTCGTCATGGCAGGTAATTCAGCCTGGAGCTGGGTTTCACCCCGTCCGACCGCCGGTCGACTGCTTGGTTCTGGTTCGTAACGACTCGTTTTATGTTGCGTGGGGGTAACGGAAGCTAACCAGCTAGCCAAAGTTAGCAGTGCTAACCCTTAGCTAGCCAGCAGAAACAAGTGTCACCCTCCGGACTGGCTGTCTCTGCCGGCTAAAAATGACCGGCCAGCTGCTGGTAGCAGATGATCGCTGGTAACCGTATCGCTGGCACTATTTTTGCAAGCTAACAGTCGCTTTAGCCGAGCTCTGCTGCAGTTCTTTCAGCTCTAACGGTTCATTATCAAGAGTTGCGCTCCGGTCCGGCCAACCAAAACATGAAACTGGGAGGTTTGCTTTGACTGGAAAATACGTGTTGGTTTCCACGGGATGTCTAGTTGTCCCTAAACACACCCCGGCTGCTGGCTTTGACGAAGCGAGGCGAGCCGTGGCGTTAGCGCTGCTGGTGGGAATGTCGGCTACTTTCAGAGAGCCGGATCACTTGACTCGGATCACCCAAAAGAACCGTCTGCTTCTTTCACGACCACTTTGTAAGAGACGCACACGTGTAATTAAAGATATTATTCTATTCTCTAAAATGTGATCCTTGGGAGGGGCTGATGACGTCACGAAAGGCAAAATGAAATACTTTATTTATCCCAAAGGAAAATTTTGAAAAATATCCAATATTTATCATAGGGACATTTTAGATGGAGATGCTGTGTGAAGGACTGATCTCCAGTAACAGTCAGTGTTCCAACAAATCTGAAAAAGCCTCTGACTGAAGACATGCATTGCTAATCCACCTCTGTTGCTTTTGCTGTTCCCCTTTAAATCTCCAGTCAGCATACATTAGTAAAAACAACAGCAGTTGAGCAGATTTTTACATATTTTAATAGATTCTGAGTTGGATTTAAAGGGCAATATCAATAATTTTTCCTAACTTTTCTTTCTCTCTTTTCATCACAGCATGTCTGTTTTTACTTTCAGCATATCAACCATTAAAATTATACATTAAAAGTCCGTTTAAAATAGTTCCTGTGTTATTTTCAGCTCTTGTTTCTGATTGCACTATTGATATCTTATGCAGCTTCAACTGCAGATAAAAATATTTTTTTTAAATTGTAACTGACCTAAAAGAAGTCTAGTTTAACGTGATTTAATGTCTCCTAAATTAAATTAATTGCTTTTTTATGTTTGCTTCCATCTCTCAGTACAACTTATGTGATTAAAGCATGTAAAGAAGAAGATTACTTGTTGTTTGTAATATTTATTCCTGGATATTTGCTGCTATTCTGCAGTTGTACTGAAATCTGTTTATCTGTATACCTGAAAATCACTGATCCATTGTAGCGTCAAGTCCAAACAGGAATCTAATCTAAAAAAAAATGCCTTCAGGGCTGTGAATATTTCACATGTAGATATTAATATCTACATTTATATATATGTGTAGTTTAATGTTTAAAATCTTCCAAAGATTCAGTGTTAAAATATATATTTATAAATTGCTTTTGAGCTGTAATATCTAAGCTTCTTGTCAATTTATTTGTGTTTTTTAAGCAGTGGTTGATTCCATGTAGGACAGATTTAGATGAGACTGTTTTTCTTTAACAAAATAAAAGGCATTTTACACTTAACCAGCTGTCATTCCAACATTTAAAGGACTGAAATTAAAGCGATAGCCCACAGTTCTTGGTTTTGTTTTTTATGGCAGGATAATTGAGCGGTTTAAAAAATGTTTATCAACATTATCTGCGAGCTGTTCTTGAGAAATGGAAGAAAACTGAGCCCAGACATGCGCTGGTATGAGAACCTCACAGTGTTTTCACACTATGAAGTATTTCACTCTACAAATGTGTATTTCTTTCTTTAAAACAACAAAACCTTTTCTTTGCCTAAAAATTTAGACTAATCATTAGAATTATAACATGTTATAAATAAAATGTACTCTAATTTTGACCTATAGGCTTAATCAAAAACAAAATTAGAATAAACAGACACTAAGTTTACCTGTAATTAATGAAAAATGTTTGCAGTGGTTTTCTAACTAATTAATCAAATCTTTTGCATTCCTTCCCACTGATCATTTGTTTATGCAGTTCTGACCCCAAAACAGAAGGTGGATCTGATATCATCATAAATGGTTCCAGTTCTCATGAGCCCATATTTATTTAATCAAAATGGGAGCAAAGTTTCTTCCTCGGCAGTTAAAATCTCATCAGAACGTCATAAAGCAGCAGTCTTCAGTCAGGGGCTTTTTCAGATAAGGTGCGAGACGGACTGCTACTGGAGATCCTTCCTGTAAAAAGTGTAAACCACAGAACTCTGACCATAGCTGTTGGGTAATCGATGTCTTCAGTTTTGTATGATCTGCTGTTGAAATTAAAAATGAAGAGTTTCTTCTGAGTTTTACTGGAACACACAAGTTGTGTGGATGTTAAATTTGTAAAATATTTAGACTGTTTTATCTTTTTTTAGACAAGTTTCTCTGCTTTAAGGCTCAGTTTGCGACAGAAGTTAAAGAGGATGTTTGTAAGCTTTTGCAACACCAGCCCGTTATTTATTGCTTACTTCATGACGTTGCTCAAACTGGACCTTTTTTATTTACAAATTTGAAAACATTAGCAAGAAAATGACCAAATGTGCAGTTATTTGACTTATTATCTCATGCATATATAATTTAAATTGCAGTTTTTCTGGGTTTATTGATGCAATAAACCTGTAACATGATAGAAATGTAATCTAACAAGTTTTTTCCTTCTGAAAGGACCCGGAGGCGACATGCAGTGGTGCTTCTCCCAGGTGAAGGGAGCCATTGACGACGACGTAGCTGAAGGTGCGATTTAAAATAATCCTTCATACGGCAACATTTTGCTCCAATTTTAATTGATTCTGCTTGGTTAGTATCTGATCTTCATCCCTTATGTTGAAATGTTTCCTTACTTTTCTCCAAAGTTTATCTGAAATTCCTAAAAGTTTTTAGAACAGGAAACCCTTATCTCCATTAGGGTTGGACTCATGACTTAATGGTGCTGTTGGTTTCTAAAAGGGGAAAATCCAAACTTTATTAAGTTCAGAGTTTTATGAAAATGACTTAAAATCTGAGCTTCAGAAAACTGGTTTTTGGTATTAAGGGAGCTTTAAGGATGCAGCTTTTGTTAGGAGACAAATCTGAAATGTTTATTTATCAGGGCTACAACTAATGGTTATTTAGTAACCAAATACTTGGACGATTAATCGATTAGTATAATGATTAATCGATCTGTTGTTGTTTTTTTAAATTGGCACATTCTTAAGATTTTTCATTTAACCTCCTAACTCCTATTATATAGTATTAGAAATGCAATAAAAGATGCTAATAATTCCTTTTTTAAGAGAAAAATAAACATTTTATTGCCCAAAACGCAAAAACTGCATTTCTTTAGTGAACACTTGCAGCTAAAAAAAATACTTTTACATCAACATGTGAAAAGTTCAACTCTTTCTGCTTAAGTTAACATTAATACAGTGTAGAGCTAATCTGGTGATTATTTTGTTGATTGAAAGTGTGATTATTATTTGAACAAGGTGAAGCTAAAACTGAAACTTTTGAAATTCTGGGTAAAACATCTACAAAAAGTTTTTTGTAATTATCTTAAATGAAAAACGTAAATATATTTTGTACAGTTTTTCTTTAGTTTTCACGTTCCAGTTAGCGATTAATCGATTACTTAAATAGTTGACGATTATTTCAATTATTGATTAATCGTGATTAATCGTCTCAATCCGAATATTTTATTTGACAAATCAGCACAAAATAGTTAAACTCTTACAGGTTTTCTTCGGGGGTTGACCATCGTCCAATCAGCTCTGACCAACTTCCCACAGTATGATGCAGCTGCCACCATGTTTCATGATAAAATAAATCAAAGTTTAAGGATATAGCAAGACAAAATGACTCTGCAAACTGTAAAACACCCCGTTCTGGGCCTCAGGCAGCACAAAGGCCCCTCACTACAATCTGGTCGCTCATTGTCTTTCTGCTCCAGTGGAAATTAAAGTGTGTGTGTGTGTGTGTGTGTGTGTGTGTGTTTCAGTGTGAGGAGTCCAGGATGTGAAAGACAATTTGAGTAACTGGAGCGAAAATGGAACCGATCACGTTCCGTCCGGCCTCCTTTCCACCAACACAGACTGCTACTGCTGCGTTTAGTGACTAAATGTTTTCATTCTGATGTCATTTCTCTGCCCAGCCGACATCATATCGACGGTTGAGTTCAACCACACGGGGGAGCTCCTCGCCACCGGAGACAAGGGCGGCCGTGTCGTCATCTTCCAGCAGGAAGTAGAAGTAAAGCCCTCCTCAGTGTTCGGTGTATTTGTTTTAGATTAAATCGCGCTTTGTCTCATAAGTGTCCGCGTTTCTTCTGCCAGAACAAGAACCTGCCCCAGTTCAGGAGCGAGTACAACGTTTACAGCACCTTCCAGAGCCACGAGCCCGAGTTCGACTACTTGAAGAGTTTAGAAATTGAGGAGAAAATCAACAAGATCCGCTGGCTTCCCCAGAAGAACGCCGCTCAGTTCCTGCTGTCCACCAACGGTAAAGCTGCAGGTTTTATTGCCCAAACATTTCTCCTCTGCGTTCTTCAGACCTGAACAAGGAGGAGAGTTAATAAAAAACCTTCAGTTAGACATGTTAAAAGCTGGATTTTATTTATTCTCAACTAGAAACGCACAATATATTGGCAAAAACATCGATATCAGCCGATATTAGTTATTTTTTTAACACATCAGTATCGGTTTGATAAATAAAACTGGCCTGATATGAACAACCGATATTTATTTTTATCCATTTCTGGTTTTTTCCCCCAAAGTTGTTAAAACCGTAGTAAAATATATATAATATTGGTAAATATCAGACATAACAAAAATACTAATATCGGGTATCGATATCAGCCCAGATCTTTGTATCAACACAAATTAAAGGCAGAAATATTCAAATAATTTTAATTTTAAGCCATAATTATGAATAAACATAATGCCATTGGTTTTCTTTTCTTGTTGCAGATAAAACTATAAAATTGTGGAAAATAAGTGAAAGAGACAAGCGACCAGAAGGCTACAACCTGAAAGAGGAAGATGGCCGATACAGAGATCCCAACACAATCACGGCACTGCGGGTCGGTCAGAACCACACCATGATGCTGCCGTGATGCATTCAAAGGAAACCAGAGAGTTTTTATTAGTTTTTCTGCACATTTCAGTGAATGAAAGTCGTTTTCCTGCTGCAGGTCCCGATTTTAATCCCCATGGACCTGATGGTGGAGGCCAGCCCTCGCCGGGTGTTCTCCAACGCTCACACCTACCACATCAACTCCATCTCCGTCAACAGCGACAACGAGACCTACCTGTCTGCAGACGATCTGCGCATCAACCTGTGGAACCTGGAGATCACCGACCGCAGCTTCAGTATCCTCAAACACAACCTGAGAGACTTTATTTACATTTAGGGGTCCGGATTGGGGACCAAAATTGCAACATTTGTTACATTTTCAGCTGCTGCATCACCGTGTCAAACCATCCAAACTAATATAAAAACCTATTCCACCCCTCGCCTGTGGTGGCGCTACACTGAGAAATACTGAAGGAATCGACACAAAACCTCTGAAGAAGACGTTGATCACAACTTCCTGCTTCATAAAATGTAAACAAAAATGGAGAACTGTCAGATTTTATCGGTTGAATGATTTCTCTATTAATATACTACTGGTTTCGACATCGCCTGTTAGTCGCTAACGCTGGCGGCCATTACTGTGAGTCACTGAGTCACGTAGGCAAAACAAGACCGTTCCAGTAAGAGCAGGAATGTGTCACAAAACTGTTGGTAGCTCTTTATTTCTTACTCGATTTCTATAAAATATGTTTTGATATTTAAAATATGCATTCTCCCTAAATATAAATCTAAAAAAAATTTGGTTTCTGTCAAGAGAGGACGGAGCAAATTTCACTTTTATATTGGTCAGTCATTTAATTTTACATAGTTGCCGCCATTAAAATTAGTTTGTTGAAATTTAATAAACCATGGCTACTTTATGAAATATTTCATACTATTTGATGGTTATAAATATCGCTACTTTCTACAATCAAACGAGGAAGTTATTAGTCCAATTTTTGTTGTTTTTATTTAAGGGAAAATAACGCTGATAAACTGTCAGGACGTCATACGCGTAGCACAAACTGACGGCTATATCTGTCAGACAAGTATACGCCGTCATTACCACATGCTTTAATTTAATCAGCAACATGACATTATGACGTAGAAGTTAGATCGCCATATTAACAGCTGTATGACATCCCGACTTAGCGGTTAATTAGTCAGACCATCATCTAGGAACAGGGAGGCGAGTTTCGACGGGCCGTGTTTTGTAGTTGACTGTAGCTACAGCTAGATCCTCTTTAAATACACTTTGAAACATCTAGTATATCCATCTAGTTTTCATTGAAAACAATTTATTGACTTATTTTTGTTGTATCTGGTCGCGTATGCTGAACTGACAGCTCCTCGAAATGTGGCGGACCTCTTAGTGCGCATGCGTACTCACTACACGTATGCTACTCTGACAGCGAAAGCTCATCTGAGAGAACACCCGGCTTTCTTTCTTTTTAAATTTTTTTTTCTTTGATTACTAATTGTCACCTCCCAAAACGAAGCGGAGTTGAATCAAACCGTGTGTGAATTCAGCCGTGTTGTTGGCGCTCCCTGACTGCGCCTCCCCAGACATCGTTGACATCAAGCCGGCCAACATGGAGGAGCTGACCGAGGTGATAACGGCGGCGGAGTTTCATCCTCTCCAGTGCAACACCTTCGTCTACAGCAGCAGCAAAGGGACGATCCGCCTCTGCGACATGAGGGTGTCGGCTCTCTGCGACAAGCACTCCAAGCGTGAGTTAAGCAGAAAAATTAAAAGGAAAAACGATGCGAGTAAAATCTAAACTTCATCAATGAGAATAATAATAAAATGTCAGATTAGCGTCATAGGTAGGTACTGAGATTTTTATTTCTTTTAAATTATAAGAATAAAGTAATATAATGTTAGCTGAATAGAAATGTTATGTTGCCAGAAGAGAATCGTAAAATTACTTGAAAAACGTTTTTATTAGTTTTTAAGATCTGATGTAACCAACTCCTCTAACTCTTGATTTTTTTTTATTTGAACAATAGTTTAACTTCTTTAACTTTATTTTTTCCTCATATACTTTTCGTATCATTCCGACTTTTTTCTCGTATGACTTTCTAATATGTTATTTTCGTATTATACATTTTTCTCTCATGGTATTCTGACTTGTTCTTTTTGAATATTCTTTTGAGTAATTTTTTGACTTTTTGTTGCATGACTTTATTCTCGTATTACGACTTTTTCCCACATTATTATTTCTCATATATTATGACTTTTTCCTCATAATACTGTGACTTTTTTATCGTATTATTACGACTTTATCGTATCATCATGAATTTTTTTCATGTTTTATTTTGACTTTTTTCAACTTTATCCCCATAATATTGTGACTTTATTACCGTATCGTTAAAATCTTTTTTTGTTGTATTATTGGGACTAATTCTCATAATTTTATAACTTTTTGTTGTATGATTTTATTAATATATTATTGATTTTTTTCCCTGTATTATTCCAACTTTATTCACATGATTTAGTTTTTCTTTCTTTTTTCTTTAATACTCCTTCATACTGAACTGCCAGAACCTTTTTGTCCCAATACTTAAATTTTTTTTATCATTATATGGCTGAAAAATGGTCGACAGGAGAGACATCACATGATGATTTAACTCGCCTTTCATGACATCCAAACATCTGAAACTCAAAAAACACATTAGAGTGAGTTAATTTGAGTTAGTGCTAGGTTTTAATGTTTTTATTGGAGCTAGAACCAGTTGTTGTTCTGGTCAGCAGCTCTGTAACCTGAGTTTCTACAGTTCATTCGTGACATTAATCATCATTTCCCTCCTGTAATGACGGCCGGATGAAGTGAGGATCCTCTGGTCACAGCTGGTCTCCGTCTTCTTCTCTTTCAGTGTTTGAGGAGCCAGAAAACCCCAGCAACCGCTCCTTCTTCTCAGAGATCATATCGTCCATCTCAGACGTCAAGTTCAGTCACAATGGACGCTACATGATGACCAGAGACTATTTATCTGTGAAGATCTGGGACCTGAACATGGAAAACCGGCCGGTGGAGACGTACCAGGTCAGAGCGCTGATGCTTGGATCTCCTTAGACTCTGATTGGCTCAAACTGATTCTTTATTTCTCTTAGGATCTGTAAATAAATAAAAATGCTTTGTTTTTATTCCATTTCCTGGATATTCCTACTCTAATTTAAAAGCTGCCTTTGAGATGTTCAGGTATTAAAAACGACAAAAAAATTATACACAAGTAAGAGTAGAGATATTTCAACTTAATTTTACTTGAGAAAAAGTAAATAAAATAACAGTCAAATAAATTATTCAAGATTAAAAAGGTAGATAAATGCATAAAAAAGCCATTTAAGTACCGAGAAACTGATCAAAACATCAAATATTTATATTTAAAATGTATATAATATAAAGCTGTATGGAAGCTTTCGTATTTAGAAAACCAAAATGAAAATAATTTATATAAATAACATAATTGTGTACAACATAGTATTAGGGACATGCTAAGAAAACAAAAAGTCAAAGAGTAAAGTTGAAATAATACAATAATAGTCAAAATAATATTAACCCCAGCAACGGCTCCTTCTTCCCAGTAAAGAGTAAATTAATAATTTTAAGTCATAAATAAAATCAGGCAAAAAAAAAAAACATTATTCCAAATGAGTTTCTTTCAATCTAAAACGTATGAAACTTGAATAATAACTGCAGGTTTTTGTCTTTATCTGGTGAATTTCCAGAAATTTTACTCGAGTAAAAGTAGCAGTGATGTATAATAAAGTTACTAAAGGTACAGCGTGGTGAAAGTAAACGTTTTTCCAGTTACTCAAGTAAATATAACTAGTTATTACTCAACTGACGTCAGCCCCACCTTAAATAAAAAAACACATTTAAAGTCACTCCTTGTAATTCTGCATAGCGGCCACTAGAGGTCAGGATAAACAGTTTGTAAAGGACATTTGCCATAAAAACATTTCATGCATCAGAGCTGTAGGAAGAAGTGATTCTTCTGCTGCTTCACGGCTGTTTGGTTGAATCGTTTCAGGTTCATGAGTACCTGAGGAGCAAGCTGTGCTCGCTCTACGAGAACGACTGCATCTTCGACAAGTTCGAGTGCTGCTGGAACGGAAACGACAGGTAGGAGCACAACGGCCGTTATGACTCTCTAAGAATCCATGACTAATGTGTCGCCGGCCGGGACGCCCAGGGGAGCGTTTTGTTTTCCCTCTGTGTCATCCGCTCAGACGTTTAGCCGATTTGAATGATTCCTCTGTTTAACAGGTTTAATTATCTCCACTCCCTGGATTAAAAACAGGTTCCAGGATTAATTCACAGAGGTGTATTGTATTGTGTATTGTAGAAGGAAAAAAGAGTAGTGCATTTCCAGCAGCAAAACTCAGAAATATTGAGATTAATCTTAGAAAATTTCTAGAAAAACAAGGCAATGCACAAGCTTGAAAAGTTGAAAAATTCCTAGAAAAAAAAGGAACTTTTTGAGATTGGCCTAAAAAAATTTTTCTGAAAAAACATGAAATTTCTGACATTGAAAAGTTGAAAATTCCCCTGGGAACATTTTTTTAAAATTTTCAGCTTAAAAGTTGAAAATTTCCTAGAAAGGCAACTCAGCGATTTTGAGAATAATCTCAGAACTTTCACAGAAAAAACAAAAAAATTTTTGATCATAAAAAGTTGAACATTTCCTTGGAAAAAAAAAACTCAGAATTTTTTAGATTAATCTTAGAAATTTTCTAGAAAGAACAAGAACATTTCTCATCTTGAAAAGTTGAAAATTTGCTGGGGGAAAAAATCAGAAATTTTGAGATTAATCTTTTAAATTTTATAGAAACGGCATGGAAAATTCTGAGTTTAAAAGTCAAACATCTTTTGAAACTCAAAAGTCAACATTTCAGATTTTTCAAACTCATTTCCAAGACATTTCCGCATTTTTTTCTAGAAATGTTCAGAAATTAATCTCAAAATGTTTGAGTTTTTTGGTGGAAATTTACTCTTATTGAGCGATTTTGCACATTTGATTTAAAAGAAAAAGATAGGTAATGCATCTCACAAATTTAGAAGAATTCAACATTGAATTTCACTACATTTATTATTTTCTATTTTATTTTGTTATAATTTTTCAGTTTGAAAGTGAGAAGCACTTAAGATACAGATGTTTACTTTAAATTTGACCATTTAGCAAAAAATAAGCAGTTTTAAGTCTTATTCTTTGTTTTCCAAATTCCTCTGGGAACCTAGTTGAAATCAACACCAAAATGGTTTTTCCTTCCACTAAACTTTCTTCTTCCACATACTCGTATAAAACCTGGAGTTTTTTCAGTGTTTTTTTGTTTTTTCTTGTCTCTGTCTCGCCCTGCTCCCCGTGGCAGCGTGGTGATGACCGGCTCCTACAACAACTTCTTCCGGATGTTTGAGCGCGGCCAGCGGCGGGACGCCACGCTGGAGGCGTCGCGGGAGAACAGCAAGCCGCTGCAGGTCCTCAAGCCGCGGAAGGTCTGCACCGGCGGCAAGCGCAAGAAGGACGAGATCAGCGTGGACAGTTTGGACTTCAACAAGAAAATCCTCCACACCGCCTGGCATCCGCAGGACAACATCATCGCCGTGGCAACCACGAACAACCTCTACATATTCCAGGATAAAGTGAACTAACGGAGACGGAGGGCGGGGTTAAGGGTTTAACCTGCAGGATCATCTGGAGGAGCTCCGTGACCCCTGTGTGACCTTTATGTGGACGGGGGTCTCCAGTCGTCCGCTGCCTTGTTGTTAAAGTCGTGCCAATGTTTTTCCTTTCGCCTGCCGACCCAACCTTTACATCTCATCCCGTCGTTTCTTCAAACTTTGACTAGACTTTTTTTTATTTTATAAACAGTCCCTCTGATTGGTTCTCTGGTAGAATTAAAACAACTTTTTTTTTCTTTTGTCTCCCATGATGTTGTGGTGTTTACATTTCTCAAAGAAATCACATTTTTACTCATTTCCTTCATGATTTTAAAATCACAGGTTGTCCATGTCTGAGCTACGATGGAGAATTGGGGTCATAATAAGAAAAAAAAGGAAAATAAAGAATTAAATTACAAGAATAAACTCAAACGAGAACAAAGCTGCACTAGTATAAGAATATAGTCGTAATAATACGAGAATTGTTGTAATGTTATGACTTTATTCTTGTGTTTTTACAACTTGTATTATTTTGACTTTATTTCTATATTTCAACTTTATTTTAATAATATGAATTTATTCTCGTATTACAACTGTGTTCTCACAAAACCATGACTTCATTCTTGTAATATTGCGAGTTTATTCTAGTCTTACTTCAACTTTATTCTTTATATATTATGACTTAATTGTAATACGACCATACTCATGATACTGTACTTTATTCTGGTATTTTTATTTATTTTTATATCTTATTAGCGTGTCCCTAATTCTCCGTCTTACTCTCCCAAACTCCAGAAGTTATTCTTTTATCTCCCTTCAAGATGGCCGTCTTTCTGCATCGGATCCTCTTCCTCTTTTTTTATTTTTATTTCTCTGTGTGCTGCAGCAGTCGGGTCATAAAGAAAGGCTTTACAAAGATAATGTCGTTAATATTATGATTGTCATATTTATATGAAATACTGTTGAAAATGCCGCCGGTTGTTTTCCGTCCCACTTTGTGAAACAAAGCTGGACTTTTAGCTTCTTTTTCAGATCTTAAGTTTCACACTGGACTCTTTTTGTGCACCAAACTCAGTCCTCTGGATGTCTGCGTTGTGACTGCGATTTAAAAACCGTAAAATTATTTGAGGCACTGAATAACTTATTTTAACCACTGAAAACATTACTGTCATAAGGATTTTTATTTTATTTTATTTTATTTTTTAGGACGGGGATTCCTCCAGTAATGTGGAATTATAATTTTACTCTGATGGTGGAAGGAAAGGGAAAAATAAAGGAATTATTTTGCATCGTTTTGGTTGAGTGACTTTGTTTCACCGTCTGTTTTTGTTTAAATTAAGATGTTGTTCAACATTTTAGTATAATGATATGAAAAGGTGAAAATTGGATTTATTACACAAAAAGTGATGTATTTCTAGTTTTTTTTTTTTTACCTTTGTTGATTATGGCTGAAAAATTCATGAAATTACAATATGACAAAATGTCAATTAAAACAGAACAGATTTAATGTGACCGTCAGTTATGAAAATTGGGATAAAACACAGAAGATAAGATGATTAAGCATACAGAGCTGTATCCAACCATATTAATGGAAAGTTTTGTGGAAGGAAAACGTGGTAGATGAACATGAACTATTAGGCGTGAATTAGCATGTAGTACTGGTGAGGTCTTTAAAAAGAAATCCAGGTTACTTACTGAGATGTAAACGCCGTCCTCATGTCGCCATTGAAGTTGACGTTCCTGTTGACACTTTTTCCTTCCACTAAACTTTCTACTTGGCTCCAGCACCTTTAAAATTTACCTTCTGTGGCTTATAAAGCCTAAATATTCCAGATTTTTCTGTTTTATAAGGTCAAATTTTTACATTTTAGCTTCCGATGCATAAAATTCAACTCTGTTTGGTTTTTACTATTTTTATTTTTAACGAGATTGCTCAAAGGCATCATGGAAAAGTTCTTGGATTTGAACCATCAGTGGATTAAAATCTGCTCTGATGGGGTCCAGTTACAGAAATTTGTGAATAAGCACTCATCGGGTTATAGTCGTGACTGTGTACGTGGGGGCATGCATGTCCCCACCGTCTGAGGCAAACTTAGATGCCATGTTCATACTTTTTAAGCTAATAGGTAGCTCTCTGTATGGTAAGACATTGTAGCATATAATGAACTCTGGATATATTTGTTTTTAATCTAAGTAATGGGATTACTTTTTGTAAAAATAGAACATTCTTTAGAGTTAAAGGTGAATCTGAAATATGGCAAGTCAGGTTGTAACATAAGGGAATTTTAAAAATGTACATATTGCTATCTAAAACAATTCTTCATAATTGCTAATATTTCAGCTATTTCAAAAAATATTTATTTTCAAATAAATTTATTTAAAATAAGGATCATAGTTACCTATAAATGGATTTGCAGCTGTTTAGAAATAATATTTCACAATTTTTGTGGTGAGCTGACCTCCCTAGGGTATAATAGGTGATTAGATGTTTACTAGACCGCATTATAATATTTTAGCTTATTTTTATTTAACCCTAAGCTTGCTATGTATTCTGAAAACTACACTCTCGTCTTGCTGTTTCCTTTAAATACGTATAGCTATAATATGATAAATCGACTTGCCATTCATTTTCGTTTTTTCTAACTCGTTACGTAATCTGGCTCTGTACCCACCCCTGTTGTGTCAAACAGAGGGTGTTACGTCATCCCGCGGCCCCGCCTCCGATGAGCTGTGATTGGCTGGTGTCTGCAGCTGCCTGTAGGCCAGCTAAGCCTACGAAAACAAACGGCGCTTACAGTTAGCGTCTCAGTTTTTTGGTTCTGTTGCCCAGGGCTGACGACGCCTCGGCTCGGTTTTATTAAAGCTCGTCTGAATGTGTATAGACAGGAGCAGTTGTAGCTCTTAATGCAACCCTCCCTCCTCACTAGGAACCACAATGTCCGACGCGGCTAACGTCACTTCTACAGACAACAACGGAGACTCGGGGCTTAACGGTAAGCTAACTGCTGCCAACCCGATGCCCTAAAGCACCCTTAAATAGCCTATGTTTCCCCTCTGCTATCGTCTCTAAATGCTCTGGTTTATAAATAAAAGTCGTTCATAGATCGGCGTGTGTCAACAGCAGTGGTTTAATTTTCACATTTATTTTTTTTTTTTTTTTTTTTTTGCAAGCGAAGCCTCAGCGAAAGGGGCCGGGGCTAGAACGTAATGTTCCGTGTTTACTGACAGTCTGCGGACCAATGGTGTTTCAGCTTGTTAGAGTGACAGTGACGTGAACCAATCAGTGCTTTCCTGGAGGCGGGCTGAACTCTTGTCAACAAGCCTAGATGGAAGATGTCCAACGTGGTGAAATTGACGCAAATATTTGATAGTTAACCCTTAATAGCAGCGGTTTATAAGGTAAATAACTGATTCATATGTATATAAGATATAACTATGACATAAACTATGAGGTGTTCATTAATATTACACTGCTGCATTGACTCAGGCCCAGCTCACAGGGGTTGGAAAATGTTTTACAGCACTATTTAGGGGGGAGCTGTGACTTGGTCTGCTATTTATGGTCATGACAACAAGGGGACAAAAGTTATAGATATGAGAAAGGTGGGGGAGTAGAATGGTTCACGCTAGTTAAAGGTGGATGACGTAAAACATGTTTTAAATTGTAGCTAGATCTTTTAATCTTAATGTTTTATGATTTTATTCTCATTCTCTAAATAAAACCCAGTGCAATCGATCCCTTCTCATACTAATTAATTAGTAAACACAGCCCATCTGTAAGCAGTGTAATCCTGAACAGACCCTCTCCACTGTAAAGCTTGGTGGTGGCAGTGTCATGCTGCAGGGGTGCTTTCACTCGGAGAAAATGCTGTCAGTAACATTCAGCAATAAACTAAGCATGAACTAGATCAAATAAATTAATCAGATTTCTTTAAAGAAACAGGATCAAAAAATTCAAATAGTTTTTGCTAAATTAAATTAAAGGCATCCAGTTTGCTTATTATTTTGGAGTTAAATTAAAGAAAACTGAAACATAATTTATATATTCTCAACAGTAACAACAGCATATAAATCAGTCTTCATTTTGAAACAAAATTCTGTTTTTAACCAAGTTTTAGAACATAAATTAAAGGCAGATTTTGGTGCACCAAAGTGTAAATCTGTCGCAAAAAGTAATTAACCAATTAATCACATGATAAATAAAAATAAGCTCGATAATTTCCATTCTGATGGTTAATATTTTTATGAAGGTCAGTTATGTTTTTATTGTATTTATAGTTTCAGTTGTGTCTGTTTTTTATTTATAGTTCTTGGTTGTTTATGTTGAATATTTAAAATATCTTCCAGTGTCGAGTGTTTTGCTAGTTTTATGCCAATATCATTATGTTACTTGAACATGGTCACAAAATTGTTTATCACAATAATTACTGGGACAATTTATAAAAAGTGCCATTTTTATTGCGACAGGCCTACCAAGGTGTACTTTAGAGTATAAATCAATGAGCAGATGTTGTACTATTAACTTGAAAATAGAAAAAAAAGCAAAAATGTTGGAGAAAATTATCACTTTCTGTTTCATTTAACATTTTTGTAAATAGATTTCAATTTAAAAGTCATAGTTTTATCCTAATTTATTTAATTTATACCTAAATGGTAGTCTAGAAGGCTGCACAAAATCAGCCCAAGGGCCGCAAACGGCCCTCGGACCCCGCTTTGAGCACCCTTTGTTTAAATCAAAAGTTCAGACTTTTATCCATTTTTGAAAAACTTGAAAACTGGTTTTCACCTTCTAATGTGATTGAGCTCTTTGCCTAAGTTTTGAAGTAAAAATCATTAATTATTTCTGATACACAAAACCTCAAACACACTGCAAAAACACAAAATATTACACGAGTATTTCTGGTGTAATTTCTAGGCAAAATATCTTAGTACATTTGAAATAAGACAAAGATAACTTATCAGTAAGGAGTTTGTTTTAAGTAAATAATTCCTTAATATTGATGAAAACGTTCTGGTTCCACTGGCAGATTATTTGATCGATAACAAGTCGTTTTTTCCATGTTATAAGTGAAATAATCTGCCAATAGAAGTTGTACGTCTTAATCAATATAAATGAATTATTACTGAAAAGTTACTTCTAAGTTAGTTTTTGTTTTATTTCAAGATGTTTTCAGTAGAATTTAGACAAAGATACTTTGTGTTTTTGCAGTGCGCTATCTTCTAACTCTTGGATTAATTAGATTATTTGGTTAATCTTGTGTCCATGTTCAGATTGTTCTTCATATTCCCGTCCGTGTTGCTCTGTTTTGGTAGAAAACATGTAATTTTGCTCCTGTCTGCCCCTCTGGTCCAGCTCAGAGGTCACATCACGATCCAGCAGCTGATATTGTCCGTCTGGCCAGAATGTTCTGAGCGATGGGCGCCATGGCAACGCGGTTTTAGCCCGCCGGGCCAGCACAATGGCCCGCGGTCCGCTGCTTAATCCACAGGTTGAGCCCGGCGGCTGACCAGAGGAGCAGCTTCTCCGTCTCTGGCGTGTTTTCCTGTTTACGTGTTTCTGCTCTTCCTCATTGTTTTGTTACTCTGAAGCGTTTGTAACAAGCCCCCCCCTCCTCCTCCTCCTCCTCCTGCTCTTCGTCCTGCTACTCTTCCTCCTCCTCTATATTTGTACCGCTGCCTTCTGAGCTGCAGGTCCATGCCACAGCTCACGTACGAGCCGGTGGGAGCGTTTTATTCCCCAGCCAACGTCTGCTTACACAGGCGAGCGTTTACTGCCAGCTCATCACGCGGCAATAAATAGAACCAGCCGTCTGGCTGCTTTATTTCTCATCCACACGCTGGCCTCACAAATAAGTGAAAACTTTCCTAAACTGACTTAATGAAGCCAACTTTATTGTCACAAAATCTAAGAACATAAACACAGGCTTTGTAAGTTTATAATTAGTGCCACAAATACATTATTTTTTTTTACTAATTTAGGCATAAAAGTGGTTTGTTGAGTCAAATATCGTGACTCAAATCTTATCAGAAACACCACAGCCTTTGAGTTTAAACTCAGAAATAATTTATAGAAGTTGTTGAGATTTAGACCTGTCATAATAAATAAATTAATTACATGATGAATTAAAGCAAACTCAATAATTTCCTTTTGTATGATTAATCGTTTTTCTCTTTTTGTACCAAAAATTAGATGATAAAAGATTTCAGTTTGGTGTTTTGGTCTCAACTGTCCATTTATTCATTTTATTTGTTGTTTTGTTTATTTATTTTGACTATTTAAAATGTTTTCCAGTTCCAGTGCTAAATGTTTATTAAAATATAAAGTTTATTGATATTTGAGATTGTGTTCTTGCGTTATGACTTGAAATGATCTTGAAAAAACATTACTATCATTTTATTGCAATAACCTCTGGGACAGTTTATCTTCCAGTCCTTTTTTCTTTCTTTGGATGATAAAAATCTTTAGTTGAAGCTCTTTGGAGGATCTATTTGTTTACAGAGTCTTCATAAATCATTTTATCTGTTGTTTTGTTTATTTTGGATATTTCCAGTTCCATTGTTAAATGTTAATTACAATTTAAAGTTTATTGATATTTGAGAATGTGTTCTTGTACTAAATCACTTAAAAATTGTCTCAAAACAACAATATTATCATTTATCGCGATAACTTCTGAAACAATTTGTCGTCTAGCAAAATTAGTGATTATTAAAGGCCTACGTAACTTTAAATGAAAACAAATTAGTTTTTTGAGTGATTTTCATAATTATAATCATGTTTATTGCGCTATATTTCTTCTTCTCTGGTAATTTCTGGTTATTTATCCTGGTTTAACCTCCAGTAAACATGAAGGAGTAAACTACTGGTCCGGTTTCTCCCTGCAGGGTCCTGGGTGGAGTTGGAGATGAACAGAACCCACCAGGCCCAGTCGTCCTCGCCGGCCGGGCCGGCGCCGGGCCTGCTGCCCCTTCCTCAGGTGGAGGAAGAGGAGGCCATGGTGGGGGGCCTGGAGCACGTCCCGTCGTCCTCCTCCATCCACAACGGAGACATGGAGAAGATCCTGCTGGACGCGCAGCACGAGTCGAGCCGCAGCAACTCGTCCTGCGACAGGTAGGCCCAGGAAGAAGCACATCCTGGAGAAACCTGGAGGTTCAATCAGGTGTTCTCAAGGTTTGGAAAATGCTTCATATTCACACTGCACAGGTTTGTAATAAAACCGATGATGCGTCACTTTTTTATGGCGTTTTTTTGGACTCTTTTCAAGAGAAAACGTTATTTACATTTGAAATCTGATGTTTTTAATAATAAAAAGAGATTTTTTTCTCAATGTCTGAAGTTAAATTAGATGGAACATTTCTTGTTTTAGGTTAGTAAAAAATCCCAAAATTATTTCTATTTATTTAATTCCATAAAACGTGTGTCAAACTCGAGGCCCAGGGGCCAAATGTGGCCCGCCATAACTTTTTATGTGGCCCTTTAGATTCTAAACTTTCTGTTTTATTAATCAAAATGAGTCTGTTTTTGCCTGAATACATGGATGTGGAAAGATGTTCAATATTTTAGACGTTTTTTAATGGGTTTTATCAAGATTCTGCCACAAAAAGCCATTTGATATCAGGAGTTTGACATCCTGCCATAAAACTTAGCAAGAACAGTTTTACAATATTTATTATTCCTTATCTTTTTAATTTTTAAGCTTTTATTTAACTTGTTAAATTGACTGAGAACAAATTCTCATTTTTAACAACATTCAGAAAATATTAACACAGAATAAAACAGGAAAAAATAAACAAAAAAGCAAATTAAATTATTGACTAAATAGTCAATCATTTTAAAAGTAGAAACGTTTATCATGAATGACTTTTTGAAATAAATGTTGGCTTATACTTGACACATTAAATAAAATTATTAAAATTGTTAAATTAGTGTTTTGTTGAGGTTTCTGGAGACATTTAAAAATGAAACTATGAACTATGTTGACATTTTGTTTTTAATGAAAACTAAAATGTTCTGATGGATTTTTCCTCATTGAGAACAAAACATTTTCCGTCAGTTAAATAAAAACAATGAAGTCATGAAGTCCAGGGTCAGGAAAACGTCAGCAGTTTTATTTATGTCAGATAAAACCAGACTCATGTTGACAACGACGCGTCATTGTTTTATTAAATGAGTTAAAAACATGCGACCCTTCATCATGTGCCTCTGGTGTGATAAAGGGGATCTTATCAGCTGCTGGACTTTCAGCCACCAGTGAGTCGACATCTTACCACGTTTTCAAGCCAAGAACGCTGACTCAGCAACCCGGATCCAGACACACAGCAGCCCCAGCAGCTTTCTGAGTAATAATATCATCATGAAGCGTTTTTTAGTTTGCTTAATCCTCTGGCTCTTCCACTTCAGCTTCTCTTATTGAAAGGTCAAGGTGTGGAGGGAGCCTGAGTTGACAAAAACTAATTATTTTACTTGTTATTCCGTTTATGTCGCCAGTATTGCTATGTGGAGTCGGCGGTTTCATTATTAAAAGAGCTGCTGAAGCTAGCTTGGATCACCATGGCAACAAATACAGATCTATATGAGTGAACTTAGATCACCATGGTAACAAATATGGATCTATATGAGTGAACTTAGATCACCATGGTAACAATTTTTATCATTTTATAACTGTAATAATCTGCCAGTGGAACCACTACTTTTTAATAAATTTTAAGAATTTAGCTTCTATATCTTGATGAAAAGTTGCTTGTAGTTTGTTTTTTCTTATTTCAAGTTTACCAAGATATTTGCACTAGAAAGTTTACTTAAATTAAATTTGTGTTTTTGCAGTGTAACATTATCCAGAACAGTTTTCTGAGTTTTCTGAGTCTGAGTTAAATGTTTCTGAATTAGGAGCGATGTGTGACAGTAGGATGAGCAGGTTCGTTTTCACACTGTAAAAACTAATCAGTGAAACTGCTGTATTTTCTTCATTAAACTGTATCAGTCAGATTTTCTTTGGTTTCTGCAGCCCGCCGCGGCCCCACTCCCCCCAGGACGAGGGACAGATCATCTTCGACGTGGAAACGACTGGCAGAAGAGACAGCCAGGTCAGGCGCTTCTGCTCGTCCCGTTTCTACGGAAACGCCGGCCTTGCTGCCATCTTGTACCCCGTGATCTGATGGTGTTTCTGATAACGCGCCTTTCCTTCTCCCGTCAGTCTGAGGAAGACGCCCTGGACAAGGAGAGGGACATGGACATCCTGATGAAGGACGCAGACTGGGTCGCCGACTGGTCCAGTCGACCGGAAAACATTCCCCCCAAGTAAGGCCTCCCCACGTTTCCATAGCAACAGGCATCCAGGTCCATGTTTGTGCACAGGAAATAGTCAGTCATTACACAGAGGATAATGACAACAATGATGTACAAAATATTTTATGTTTGTCTTAACAGTCACTTAGCTTTTTTATTTTACGTTTTTTAAGTTTAAAATGGTTTTAAACTTAAAAACATAAACAGAGCAAAGTTTTCTTCTATGATCTTTGCTGTATATAGCGCCTGATTTTCTGTCTTTTAGTAACGACTCTCTAGATGTTTGAGACACGACTATAAATATAAGCAAAAACCACAAAAATAGACTATAAAGAGAAAAATTATTTGTTTTGTATTTAATATTTTCAGTTTAAGAAGAAAATCTCATCCTAAAAAAAGTACAGAAAGCCACATTTGTGTCATTCTTCAACTGCACAAGAGGGGCCACACAAAACGATCCAAGGGCCGCAAACGGCCCCTGAGCCGCAGTTTGGACACCCCTGTCTTAGAGCATGTTAGCATGTGAACAGATTCACCTTAATGGATCGTTTTGTTTTAAAACAGAGTGTCTAAGACAATTTTACTGTAACATTAATTCATTTATCAGATATTTATATTAATAATTAGCTACAATTACAGCTAAAAACCGAAACAAACATCAAGAAGCATCAAATGTTTTCCTTCCAACTACTGATTTAAAGAAACAGTCACCTTTTTTTCCCTCACTGTCTGAAGTGAAATCAGTCCAAAAGTCTCTGGTTTTAATGAATTTAGAATCACAAAGTTATTTCTGTTTACCAGGTGAATGAAGCGATAAGAGTTGAGGTGTGTGTTTACGGTGTGTGTTTACGGTGTGTGTTTACGGTGTGTGTTTACGGTGTGTGTTTACGGTGTGTGTTTACGGTTGTTTCTGTTGCAGGGAGTTTCATTTCCGCCACCCTCGTCGCTCTGTGATGCTCAGCATGAGGAAGACCGGCGCCATGAAGAAGGGCGGGATCTTCTCTGCCGAGTTCCTCAAAGTCTTCATCCCCTCGTTGCTGCTATCGCACATCCTGGCTCTGGGCCTGGGGTACGAATGAACTGACTAACACTTTATCCTATCAGTTATTGTGACGACTAATCGATTAATCATTTCAGCCACATTTGTAGTCGAAAACAACTCAGTTAACACCTTTAACTTCATTTTTTTATATAAATTTAGCAGATTTGTGACTATATAAAGGGTTAACTTTGGTTTCCCTATATAGGAGTTAATTCTCACTATTCCATGTTTTTCCTTTAAAGCCTCAAAATTAATTTTTATTTTATTTTATGATGAAGTCGGGCTTTTAGCAGGGCAGCAGGATTAAATAGTGCAAACTTTACAGAAGGAATCCATTATATATTTATTATTTCATTTATTTTCATGTGTTTTACACAAACCCTGTTGCTGTTTTATAATTTTTTTTGCTGATCCTGTGATTAAACCTGAACAGGTGCAGTTTCCCAGTTCGACCAGCAGGGGGAGCGCTGCAACAGTGCTGCAGCTGTCAGAATGAAGCAAAACGCGTCAAAACAATTTTAAAGGATTTTATTTGCTTTACTTACGTTCATGAGGAACTGATTTTTCTCAGTCATTGGCTCCTTTAATGAAAATGAGTTAAGAAACTAAATTAAAATGAAAATCGTTCTCCTGCCACTTCCTGTTTTCTGCCAGTCGTGGCTCAGGTGGCAGTAAAAGGAGATTTCTTTCTAAATGTGGGTGATGGCTGCAGCAGTGGGCGCTGGTTCTGTTTGGTTCTGTTTGGCCCGGTTTGACGTTCCTCTGCTCCTCCCTCAGTGTTTACATCGGGAAGAGGCTGACCACGCCGCCGGCCAGCTCCTTCTGAACCCAAACTGAAGAAAAGTGCCTGAAGAAGAGAAGTTGCCACGAGTCGATTCTGGAGGATTTGTGCTGTTGTGAGAAGATTGCCCGTCTCTCATCCCTCTTCCTCTCCTGCCTGCCTCCTCTTCCTCCTGCTTCTTTTTAACCCCTTCCCTCCCTCCTCCTGTTTTCCTCTAACCGTCTGCAGCTTTCTGAGGTCGTTTTTTCCCCTCTAGAAGTTTCTAAGCGGATTGTTGCAGCGTTGAAAACAGAGACTGACCAGAGATTGTGCCACCTGCGTGAAGTAGCCCAGCTCTCGATCACGACCAAATTCAGACCGAAACGCAAACGTCTGGAAATGTGATCGCGCCTTTTTTCCCTTTTCCTGAAAGTGGCCATTTTTGTTTCTTCTTCTTCTGCTAATTGTGTCTACTTTATTTATTTTGCAAACAGTGGTTGTCTACAGAGACAGCGGCCAACGCAAACCTTTATTCTGACCAGTATTGAGTGAAAAAGCCACTCTGACACTAACTGGGAACCAGTTTGGGTTGCACACACTGTAAAAAAACTAAATATTACCAAGTAGTTTTGGTGTAGTTTACAGTGGAAATATTGTGGTTCGCTTAAAATGAGACAAAGCAAACTTACAAATAACTTTTTATCAAGATAGAGTATTTTTTCTGCCAAGAAACTCAGAAATTTTTAGATTAATCTCAGAAATTTTCTTGAGAAAATTTCAAAAAGTGGAACATTTGTTGGGGAAAAAAAATCTCAGAAATTTTGAGATGAATCTCTGAAATTTTCTAGAAAAAACTTGGCAATTTCGGAGTTTCAAAAATTTTACATCTTTGACTTTTAAATCTCCGAAATTTCAGAACATTTCTGAGATTCATCTCAAAATTCCTGAGATTTTTTTCTACCAAGTTTTCGACTTTTCAAACTAAAAAATTTTCTTGTTTTTTGTTCTACAAAATTTCTGTGATTAATCTAAAAATTTCAGAGTTTTTTGGTGAAAATTTGCTCCCTTCAGTCGTAGCAATAAACTGCCAGTAATTTTTCATCAATATTAAGGAATTATAGACATAAAACAATCTCCTAATTGTTGCTGAAAAGTTCCTTTTAGGTTAGTTTTGTCTTATTTCAAGCGCACTAATATATTTGTACTAAAAACTAGACAAAAACTCCTGGTAAAATGTTGTTTTTGCGGTGCAGAACTCTTCAGGTTCTGTTTTACTCGTTTTAATCGACTTTTTCCTGAATGTTTTTCAAGAAGAAAATATTTCACAAAGAAATTTAACGTTTCTATTAGGAGTTTATAGTTAAAGATGCTTTTCTTTAAGGAAAGCATCGCTTTGCACTCCAGCGAAAACAGTGAAGCACTCCGTAGATCTGCAGACGACAGAATGTGGCTGTGCAAACGTAGAAAAGCACTAACAGACGGCACTCGCATGACGGCCTCAAAGTCCGTCATGCGTCCGTTCCCTCATCGAGAAAACGATGAAAAAGATGGATGATTATGCTTTACAGCTCATAAAACTAAATTCAGTTTTTAGAAATTAGGATATTAAATCGGAGCAGAGAAAACGCTCTGACTTGATGAATTATCATCAAAATTATCATTAAAAAATATTAGATTTTCTACATTTTATCCCTAAATTAATTACCTAAAAGAAAAAATTCTGAATGTATAAAAAAAGGGCTTTTTACTTTAATTTCTAATTAAATTATACCTTTTACTTAAATGACCATGACTTAAATATTTGTCTGATTCATAAATTAATTAATTTCACTTTTCCTTCACCTCCCTAACTTCGTAAACCAGATGAAGCATGGAAGCTAAATAAAGTAATCAGATCACAAACTAACAAATTTCTTTCTCCTAAAATGTTATTAAAAATCTGGAATTTCAAAATAGAAATTTACTTTTGTTCTCTCCAAGTTTTTTCCTTCCATTAAACTTTCCATCAATGTTTCTTTTGAAGAAAATTTTCTATTTCTCTTTTAAAATGATCTATTGGTCTAATTCTAAGTTTCTGAGGAGCTGAATTTTATGTTTCATTGGCTGTAAGTCATAATCATCATAATATTTTAATTTGTCGAGACGTACCTGTCGATCAGCAGATACTTTTATTTCAGGAGGAAATAGATGGAAATTGTGATTTTTACTCTTTTTTTGCACTTGTTGGTCAGAAACAAATCAAGAACGTTCCCCGTTCCCTCATCGAAACATTCTCAATGATTCCACGAACACAAGACAAAAACAGCTCAGCATGCCTCTGCTTTAAAAACCTCTTAACTTCCTGTTTTGTTTCCGTTTGCTGCCCCCTTGTGCTGGTGCTTGTATTTGTTCCTGCTGCATTTAAACCTTACGTTTTGTATTCTTTCCTGTTATTTGTTTTGAACCGTTTTCGTTTCCTGCTGTCGAAGAAGAGATTGTGAACGCACACACTGGGAATCAAGCTTGACGTGAAAATGTTTCAAAAGTGGGAAAATAAAACTCCTTCCTGAAGGAAAAGGAACGTGTGGAGAGAGATTTTCCTCCGTAAGACTGCGACAGTCTGAGAGAAGTTCTTGTAATGATGCATTTGCTTTAATTTTTTCCTGCTACATTGAAAACATTGATAAACATTTTGTCAATAAACATGACCTGAGTGGAAACGGAGGCTTGGTTTTGTTTTTTTTTGTTAAAGATATTGGACAATTTTTGGTCCAATTGGTAAAATGTTATTTTTGTAATAATTTTTTAGCTTTTTCACCTGATTTTTGTTAATTATGGTGACTTCACACTGTGTGAGAGACACAAGTCACTATAAAACAGAGTTTTGCTATTATAGAACACAATTACAACCATCATGGAGTATTTAGCGTCAGCAGTTAGCACAGCTAGCATAACAAATTTAGCAGGTGAGAATGAGAATCCATCCCAAAAATGTGACAGAACTTTAAAATCCAGCATAATCCATAACGGAAGGAGTTTAAAAGCTTTAAAGGACAAAAATAAACAACTTTGAGGTGATAAATTTATCCTTTATGTTAACTGAAGTCTTGCTTTCTCTCAATCTTCAGCAGCCTGAATGAATTCCATGCCTCAACATTTTGTAAAAAATATAATTTTGAAAGAGCTGGACTCTGTTTTTCTATTTAGTGTTCGACTAATAGATAATATTGGATTTATGTTTGACCACATAACTGCACAATTGGACATTTTTAAATAAATTCACTTAATGGAAAAATTCATTTTTGAAAACTCTTGTTTTTAGATAAAAAGTTTTGCCACTATTATGAAGTTGGGTGTTTTTTGGCCATATCAAAATTGGTTTATTTTGCAAAACTGAAATGAAAACAAACTTTTTCACATGTGATTTTAAATGTGTTTCTTATTTAACAAAAACACCGCCATTCCAAAATTATTTTTTCTACATTTGTGAAATGTTGACAAAGTTTTTCGCACATTTCTAATGAAATCTGCAAGATGTTAATTCATGAGGACTATGTCTCTGCAGAGGATTTTATGCAAGCCTAATAATGGAAAGTTTAGTAGAAGGAAAACTTCTTGGATTTTGCATCTTAATTAGCTGTAAGCCATAATTATCAAAATTGACTAAAAATGTGAAAATATGACTAATTATTAGTTCCACTACATAAACTGAATTACTGGATTAATGTATAATGTTCTAATTTATTAATATTAATCTCTTTGTTTACATCTTTGGAGAAAACGATGGATGCTGTCAACGTATATCTGGGTGTGTAGCAGCTGGACAGCTCTGGTTTCAAATGGAAATTTGAAACCATACACAGAAATCAACCTTTAATTTAGAGGGAAGCAGTGCGCTCTGGTGGCAGATAATCTGCACTGCTCTCTGTTGTCATATCCTATCAGTTTTACTGAAATTATCACAGTTAGTCTCACTTAAACCTGCCAGGATGTACATAAAAATAAAAATTATAGAGATATAAACCATATTGTGTAAAATAAGTAATTAGAATGTATTTGTGTTTACAAATAACCATTTAATTACATGTTGCAGGGTTATCCAGCGTGTTTATTCCTGACATTTAAAAATGAACGCTGTTTCCGCCACCTTCCTTATATGGAATGTCAGGATACCTGTTATCGGCCAATCAGAAGCTTAAACACCGGCGGCTCCGCCCACTGCAGCTGATGGCGTTGCTATGGGTTACAGGGTGGCGGCCAGCTCCGTCTCTATGGTGAGACTTCATGTCTGCAGCTTTCACTAACGCATGAACACACGGAGAAAGAGGGAGTAGGTGGAATAAATTAGGGATTATTTACAGATTTAAGATGATGTCTGACATAAACTTGTTCTTTCTCCTCCATATCAGAGGAACATTTCACAAAGTCAGCTTTGTTTGGCTGCTGTTCACGTCATAAATAGCAACAGGTTGTGCCGCAATGCTAACATTAGCTTCCAGTAGCAGTTAGCTGTGCTCTAGCTTCTAATCTCATCTAGTAGCACTGCCGTAGTAATGCTAGCTAACCTCATTTAGCCGCTAGCTGTCACAAAGCAACAAGGTAAGTTTGTCCAGCAGCAGTCAGTCTGAAGAAGCTTCTGACTGAAGACTGTTGCTAGCAGCTCAGATTTCTTTTTTCCCCTCAGATTTCAGACTTTAATCTCAGATTAATTTTTTTCTCAGATTCCAGACTTTAATCTCAGAATTCTGGTTTAAATCTCAGAAATTTAAGATTAAAGTCAGAATCCTGATTTTTTTTTCTCCTCAGAATGATTTTTCTTAGAATTATGACTCTAATTATGCCTTTAATCTCAAGATTCTTGGAATTCTGACTTTTTCCTCAAAATTTTTACTTTTGATGTCAGAATATTAATCCTTTCCAGTTTCTACGCCATCATTGCTACTAAATAACAGCTTCTGGTTTTTGTGTCTTCTCCACCTCATCTCCTCATTTAATCTAGAATAAAAACTAGACAATTTGGGAAAAATGTGCACAGTCTCTGTTCATACTTCAGTCTGAACAGGCAGAACCGACCCAAAGTAATCTGTCCATGTTTACACTCCCAGTAAGTGGATCATGTCTTGTTTTGCTGATGTCAGTGTGTCCTACATCTGTTGCGGATGCCAAAGTCACGCCCTGACTCTCCACGCAGATCACTCTCTCTCTTTTTTTGGGCCTGCTGCCAACTTTCCCCAAACTCTTTCATCTGTCTCTGCTCGAAAAAAACACATACATTCAAGATTTACCTCTGATATTCAGACGTCTGTTTCCCTGCGGAAACGACCACCCCCACTCAATCCCCCGGGAGATTTAATGGTCGCAGTAAAGAACCATTAGCTGCCCACCGCGTTGTTATGGAAACTGGGCCGGCACGGCCTCGCTGCTAACACGTTCTCATGGCCTCAGCCAGGAGAGCTTTTGTCTGCTCAGACATTGACATGTGTTAGAGTGCGCTGGTATTGATCGCCATGCAGCACTAATGTATTTACAACTCATGGAAACGCTCCACTTATGATGCTAAGCTCAAGATTAATCTCAGGCACCAAAATGATTCACAGTAGAGCTGCCAAAAACAGATCTTTAGAAAGCCTTGGTAATTATTTTTTTGTGTTTATTTTGTAAATAATTTTTCTTTGATTAAAACTAGTCTAAAATGTAACAGAAGAAATCACTACATGACAACTAGCTAATACTTTAAGTTAAAGTTATCATTGCAGCACAGCTAGCTAATATCAGACGTTAGCCAAAACTGATAGTTAAAGTTAGCTTTAGAGGATATTTAGCTAATATTCAAAATTAAAGTTAGCACTGCAGCACAATTGGGTAATATCTAATGCAAACCACATCTGAAAGGCAAAGTTAGCACTACTGGACAGCTAGCTAATAACAGAAGTTAGCCACAACTGGAATTTAAAGTTAGTACTACAGGAAAACTAGCTAATTTGAATCTAAATTTGTTTTGTCGCACAGATAATATTTTTGTAGTTTGTTTGGCACAGATGTGTAATATCAGATGTTAGCACTGTAAGAATATTTGAAGTTATATTTGAAGTTGCAATGCAGCACAGCTAGCTAATATGGGAAGTTAACCACACCTGGAAAGTAAAGTTAGCATTATATATAAGATAGCTATTTAATATTTGAAGTTAAGGTTAGCATCATAGCAAAGCTAACTGCTGTTGGAAACTATATCCTCCAGCAAAGCTAGCAAGTAAAGGAAGGTATCGTCATGTCATCACAGATTTGCTGCTTCTTACACAATTTCTGTCCATTTTTGACAGAAATTGGACAGTTTCTACTCTACAAAGCTTCCTCACACCTAAAGTTCATCTTTATTCAGAAATAGCCTGATAGCTTCTGCTGTGCTGTTGGTGGGACTAGTGGAAGTGGCCAAACTTTTGGTAGTGAAGGTGTGGGTGTGGTGCTGGAGGGACAGCGCCCTCCATTCCCGGACTGGGTGTGACTTTCAGGAACTCTCCAAGGTCCTGATCGGTTCCAATTCAGGTTCTGATCGGTCCAATCAGGTGATTTGGGAGGATTCCGATCTGAACCGGCTACAGGTAATTCTTCATCGGCGAACAGAGAGAGAAAAACTCCTCCCTGGTCGGTTTATCTGACAAAGCCGCGCTGTGGTCTCCCCACCTTGCGATGCGGGTTTGTTTAGACGGATGAGTAAGCAGTCCGGGATTGTTGCAGAGATCGCTTCAGCAGCTCCTTTTTAATCTAATCTCCATTATTTCTGCCGCTGTGGGAGTGATCCCAGCCCCGGCGCTGTTTTCCTTTTGTCACAGTGCGACCACCTGCGCTCCGGAACCGGCTCAAGGCGGCGGCTGTCCAGCTGGAGAAAGGCAGGACAGTAGGAGAAGAAAGAGAAAAGGAGCGGCTCTGAGCGTCTGTGCAGGCAGGAATAATAATAATAAAAAACATGTCAACCGCTGGGGAAGTGCCACCTTTTTTCCACAGCGTGGGTTCCGACAGCCCCAACAGGCCCAGGCAGAAATTTTGCGGCGTGTTCTGCCCGGTGGAGGGCTCCTCCGAGGCGAAGACGCTGGACTTTGACGCGCTGTCAGCGTGCAGAGGACGGAGCGCCGCCGGCGGCAGAGTCATCGACCGGCAGAGCGACATCTCCCAGCCCAGGAAGGTGGAGATCCGGGAGAGCACCGGCAAGGAGGCGCTCCAGAACCTGGATGACAGGCGGGTAATTCCCCTCAGTTTCAGTCCCTCATGGTACCAAAGATACGACCCGCTTTTTCTGCACTCAAATGTTTCATTCAACAATCTGTTGTTTAAATCTAAACGTGCTCAAATTGGTTAAGTTGCATGAGCAGTTAACTTGGCTGGACTGCATTTCCCAGAAGGCATTGCGCTGAAACGAGGCGTTGGATGCAGAAGAGCTGAAGGGAGTGGCTCTGGCTTTTTCACTCTGATGGTTATGGAGCGAAAAAGTCTTTAAATAAAGATTCATTTACACCATTTATATATGAATTAATGAGTAGATGAGGCGCTTTTATAAACACACAGGCCTGTCACTATAAAACGATGCTCTGGGTGATAAATTGCTGCAGAAGTTATTGCAATAAACAATAATATTTTGGTTTTTATCAGAAACATTAAATTCTAATGAACATTTAACACTGGATTTATTTTGGAGCTCAATTTCTTTTATTCTGAGATTAATCTAAACATTTTTGTGTTTTTTTTTCTTGAAAATTTTTCACTTTTCAAACTCAGTTTTCATGCTTTTTGATAATTATTTTAGATTAATTTTCAGGTTTTTTCCTTGGATGTTTTATCTTTTTTTTAGCTCAGAAATTTTCTTGTTTTTTTCTAGAAAATTTCTGAGATGAATATAAAAAATACAGTTTTTTCTTGCAAATTTTTGCCTTTCTAAACTCAGAGGTTTCTAATTTTAGATCTTTTTGAAAAAATTTTTTAGGTTAATGTTAAAATTTCCAAGTTTTTTCTTGCGATTTTGTTTTTAATATTTTTACCTCAGGAATTTCCTTGTTTCTTTCATGTGGGTGATTTGATTTTAAAAAAGTTATAATAACACAAAAATAAATGTAAATTGCATTTATGATAAACTTGGAGTATATGTAAGTATTTATTTTATTTATCTTCTCATAAATATTTGAACACCAAACCATTTAAGGGAAAAGCAAATCACAAATAAACTTAGAATCTAACTAGTAAATAAATGTTTGTGTGGGATATTTTTAAATAAAAATAGATTATTGATCAAATCTGGAAAACATTTGAATGTTTTATTAATTTATTAAATACATATTTAATCAAATATAAAAACAAATCATAAAAATCTGTAATTTTGCTGAATTTTGCTTTTTTTGTTGGTTTTTGTGACTTTGATTAAAATCTGAACATATTTTCTCTTGTTGATGTTTAAAGCTGCGGCTCCTTTAAGAGCTTCCTGCTGCTCAGCGCTTTGGGTCGCGTTGAATCGCTGCATCATGTTACATATTGATTGGCAGCATTAAGGAACCGAGCCTTTTCCGCCCTTAAATATAAGAAACTCACCCATTATGGCTTTACTTGTCTTTACTGCAGGGATATTAGTGTAGAGTTTACAGCTTTTAAAAGTTATATAACATTATATGGCTGCATCTAATGGCTCTGATGCTAAAAACATCATCAGGCTTAGTGGTGGAGCATCTTTGTTCTGGTTCTGGTGGGGGAAATAGATTACATGTGTCAAACTCAAGGCTCAGGGGCCAAATCCGGCCCGCCGTAGCGTTTAATGCGGCCCTCTGGGCTCCAGAGAGATGCATAAATAAAACATTTAAATGCTTAAATATTATTTTATCAATCAAATCAAAGCACAGAAATTCATGCTAAATCAACAGATCCCTGCATTTTTTCAATTTTCCTCTAAAATGGTAAAACAAAAAACAAAAAACAAAACCCATCAGGTTTAAGTGATGCAAACTCCCATCTGCAGGTGGCAGTGTTTCCTTCTTCTACTATTCTGCTGCTTCAGCTTTACCTGATGTAAAGTTACATTTACTGTCACATATATGGAAACGTGGACATTTCTGAATTTCCTTTACTTTTTCAACTTTTGGATCTCAGGAATTTCCAAGTTTTTTCTATGATTTTTTTTTTAATTAATTTAAAAAATTCAGGTATTTTCTCACAATTTTAATTTTACTTTTGGAGCTCAGATGTTTCCGAGTTTTTTTCTAGAAAATCTGTGAGATTAATCTAAATAATTTCTGACTCATTTTTTCCACAAACTTTCAACATTTGGAGATTAGAAATGTCCTGTTTTTTCTAGAATTTTTCTGAGATTAATCTAAAAAGTTTAGAGTTATTTTCACACACATTTTTGACTATGGAAACTCCAAAGTTTTGTAGAGATTAATATTTTTGTCTCCAATTTGTTCCACTTTTGGACCTCAGAAATTTTTTTTCTTGAAAATCCCTGAAATGAATTAATTTTTCCCCCCCTTTTGCTAAAATGAGGGGGGAAAGTCATGAAATTTTTTGAAAAATTTCAGCTTTTCAAACTCTGAAAACCAGAATTTATTTTAGATTAATCTCCAAATTTCAGAATTTTTTTACAGGAAATTTTCTCCTTTGTTCTTCTGTCTTCAGCTCCAGATCAGTGTGAAAACATGTTCATTTAATTTCAGAGGAACTGATTGAATGCAGATGAAGCTGTTTATTAATAATCTTAATATCTTTTTTTTAAATTTTATTTTATTTTTTAAAAAGGAAAATGAATTTGACACCCAGAAGTAAATAATAGAAATTTTTTGGAGTGATTGAATTGAGCTGTTGCTTAGCAACAGTCATCCAGATTTATTTGATATTCACTCAAATTTTTCAAGTTTATTAGTACAGCATATTTCAGCATCAAGGCGGTTCAAAGTCAATATTAGCTACGTTTCATCACACAGGTGTAATATGTTGGTCAGTGTTTCATTTATTATGGTTATCAAGTCTAAACATATGTGTTTTTCAGTTTTTATTTAAAGGAATTTGTAAAACAATCTCCAAACGCCTGTAAATGTTTCTGCTTTCCATTTTGCCTCACAGTTTAGCCTGTATAGATGCAGAAAAAACGTGTTTATTTTAATAAAATTCCCAGTTTTTGCAGCCAGTTTGTGATAAAATCAGATCCTGAGTTAAGATGGCTGCTGGGCGTTTCTTCCTGGGAATGTGTGCAGCTCCCCCTCCTCCTCTCCCTCCATCCTAATCCATGAAGGGAATTGATGGCATTAGAGCCGCTCGCCTGTCAATGAAGCAGGGCGAGGCTCTGCGCATGCGCGGTGCGGACCCTTCCAGTGCGGGCTGCGCCTCCTTTCTGCTCTTGTCTGGTTCCGCGTTGGGAAGGTAACGGGTCTCGGCGCGCCGGTGGAGAGCTGGGTTCGGCTGTCAGGGTTCGGGTCTGAACTTCCGAGGTGGTTTGGGTCGCTCCAGGTTCGGCTGTTTCCGCTCCCTTTAAGAGGCTGCACGCTGGTAATCCGCACTCCTCCGTCTCCAAAAAAATCAACAAAAATCCCCCCAAAAACGAGCAGGAGCGCCGGGAAAGATGTCGGGATACCAGGGCAAGAAGAACATCCCCCGCATCACAGTAAGTCCCCGGCTTCCTGCGGGTCGGTCCCGCGGCTCGGGTTCGGTGTGGGCCTGCGGGCGTGGACGCGAGATGTCACCGGGCTGCGTTTGGTGACGCAAAATCTCAGCTCGGATCTGCAGGAGTTTGTCTTTAAAGATAATTTTCATCAGACAGAAGCAGTGGTGTGTCCGCAGCATCTTTGCGACAAGTGTCTGCGTGAATCTGAGCTTAGGTTCCCCACGCTTTGTCTCCTGCGGTTTCCAAGCCAGTGGAGATTTCACGCCGGTGGTCTTTGTTAGGCACCAACTGGTGGGAGCGTAGCGATCCCCCTCCTCAAACTGCCTTTTTATCCATTTATTCATTCCTCCAGGACAGCCATCTTCATTCCTTCCGCGCTATTTTTAGCAGATATTAGCGGTGGAAGCAGATTATTCCCCTGAATTCATGGCAGAGCTGCAGGGATGATGGTTTCAATGGAAAGTGGAGAGCAGGGAGGGGACGCAGGGTCCTATTTCCTTCATGTTTCTGCTTCAGCTGTGCAGTGAGGGCAGGATGCATGCATGCAGGCTGGGCAGGAAGGAGGTCACTGTCTCTACACTGGAATTTAAATCAGATAAAAAGATAAAACATCAGGAGTTTTGCATTTATTTACAACAGGGGAGTCCAAAGATACAGATGGAGACTTTTAATTTACATTTTCTTACACAAGTAAATGTAAAATGCAACATAAAGTGGTTTAATAAAAAGATAAAAACCAAGTTTATTCAGACTTTTACTGAAATTCGTACCAAAATCAGCTTTTGTTCCTTAATTTATTCCTTAATCTTGGATAAATATAGCAACTGTTTAGAATCAAAGTGATCCAAACCCTGTTTTTGTTAATTCAAATAAATTTATTCAATCAAACCTAAAAAATATGCTTTTTTAATACAACAAACGTGCAAAAAAAGGAAAAAAGGAGTACATTTCTGCCAAAAACTGGAATTTTCAGAGTAATTTCAGAAATTTTAAAGAAAATTATATTAAAAACAAAAAAATCTAATTTTTAGATTATCTGAAATTTTCTGCAAATCAGAAATTTCTGTATTTCAAATGTCAAATTAAAAAAAATATTTTATTTTTTTAAATACAGCAAAGATGGAAAATCTGTGGTGGTGTGTTGTAGAAAAAAGGAAAAATAAGAGTAAATTTCTGTCAAAATCTCTGAAATTTTGTAAGTTTTATTGGTCGATTCAGATTTATTTGTCAATTTTTGGAAAATAAATTGTCTGGTGACCGGAATCGGATTATTCTTTCACAAACCGACAACAAAGACATCAGAAAAATTCTCCGATTGCAGTTTTGTTGGACGATTTCTGTTGTGTTACAGTTTTGAAATTAGAGATGCAGAGAACTTGTCTGGCAACTGATTCAGAATCAATCAATGATCAATCCAATCAGCCACACTGGAAGATTTTTGTTTTTTATTAAGAGAAATATTTTTCCCGCAAATGCTACTTTTGCCTGGTGTCTCTCTTTTTATTGTTTGATCATGAACTTTGACCTTAACTGAGGTGAGGAATGAGCTGTTGATTGTCTCTTGGAATAATTTTATTTTCCTCTATTTGTGTATATAGTTATTT